ACATCTTATTCTTATTTTGCAAAGTTTTTTGCAAAGATATCCTTTATTTGTTTCTTGCTTCACATGAACTTGAACCAATCTGATTTAATTGCCATTGCTTGATATATATATATCATTTACTCCTGATCTTTTTTCCAAGCTTGATGTAATCAAATCTTGGCCATAGGATAATGTTGGCTAAACTTGAGCAATTGCATTCCCAGGATTAACCCGTAGGGGTGTCTGGATAATGGCTACACTTCTGTAGTTTCCTGTTTGGATCTTTTCCACAGTGGTTTTTCTTCTCGTGTGTGACATATGTTTTTTTTTAAATAAATTATAGGTAAAAATTATTATGCTTAGGATCTTTATCCTTTTAAAACTATCACAGGGATTTTCAGTGGTTCTGAGATCTTTTAGCAATAGCAATAGCACTTAGACTTATATACCGTTCCATAATGCTTTACAGCACTCTCTGAGCATTTTAGAAATGTCAGCATATTGCCCCCAACAACCTGTGTCCTCATTTTACTGACCTTGGAAAGATGGAAGGCTGAGTCAACCTTGAACCGGTCAGGATCGAATTCCAGGCTGTGAATAGAGTTAGCCTGCGTTACTGCATTCTAACTACTGCGCCACCAGGACTCCTTTTAGTGATTTATTAATACATTCATTCATATAGCTGTTCATCTCACATTTATGTGACTCTCAGCTGCTTACAATAAAACAAATAAAATACATAAACCACACAATATAAAAAATAAAAATAAAACACAAAGAAATTAGGTGTTATCCAGTTATTCACATAGCCAGGCGATATGCTGTGTCTGATGCCCAGGGCTCCAAGCTCCGGCACAATTTACTTTACCTTTGCATTCATTATAACTTGTGAAAGAAACAGCTTTCTACTGCTGTTACTGCTATTACTAGCTCCTCCTCCCTTCCCCCTTTCTTTCCATTTTATATGACGAAATTTGGGATAGTGTAGAAATGTTTATGGAGATTCTCAATCATCCAGATCCTGGTTGTCCCAAAGGTGCTTTTACAAAAAGCAATTGGATTTGGACTTCCTTGGTTTTTTTCTTGAAAACCTTTTGCATCTCGTCCAAGAAGCACTCATTTTCAGAATTTGAAGAATTGCCACTGGAAACTCTAAAGGAAACACCCATTCTCTCTATTGATATGTCTGTTCATGTGTTGTTCTGACCTAGGCTTCCTGAGTCAGTAAAACACACGAGTAGTCCCAAAAACCTGTTTTATTTTAACAGCTGTGAATTCTGTTCCTTCACAGATGAGTCCCAAATAGTTGTAAAGAGTCCTTCGGGATAAGGCTGATAATCACCCACCTTTATCTCCCTTGACACGCTGCCAAAGACCTAATTGGCAAAGCCACATGGAGTCCAGAATCAAACAGAGCTTCAGACTTTAAACTGCACAGAATTAACAATGTTGCTTCCTGCAAAGGCCCACATGCCTTTGCTCCTCTTTTAAGTCTTATGGGAGGGGCCAATCATCTCCAAGCCCTACTCCCAAGTTGTCCCTTTTGTTTTAACTGTTCTTGCCTTCTGGCAGCTCTGCACATGCGCGCGCTGGGAACAGGCTCATCCTGTTCTCTGCCTCACTGAGGTCCGACTCTGGAGGCTCTGGAGGCAGCACGTACCTCCCAGATGGCCCTTTCTCTGCCTCCGACGCAGAGCCCTTGTCCGAGACTTCCCCAGACTCCAGGACTGGCCCATGTTCCTCCCCAACCTCCTCACTTTCCGACTCTGCTGCCAGCTCCGCCGGCCGCTGGTGGACCACAACATGTGTTGGGAATGTTTGTGTGGAGCAGATACAAAACATAAGCAGCTGCCTTAATGCTATACTTTATTAGGCCATTGATAAGAAATACTGAAAATGTCTCTTAAGATTTTAGGAAGAAGTCTCTCTTTGTCCTGTCTGGAGGAACCAGGGACTGAATCTCAGACCTCCTGCATGCAAAGCATTATTATTATGACAGAAAAATCCAGTTCTTCAAGAGTTTTGTTTCTTTCTATACTCAGAACAAAAGCTCTGCATTGAGAATGGAATTGTTTTGAAAGTTCTGGGTGGTTTTTGAGTGCTGTACCAGAAGTTTTGTTTTGTGGTTTGTGATAGGTTGCATTTCATTCAGTTTTTCCAGTTTTTTCTTGCTGGTTGTGGGACTGCTACTCCTGGCTTGGACTGGATGGAATGGCGGAGGGAACTTCAAGGCAAACAAGCCCTTATTGAAGCACATGGTTCAGAACTGAAGAGCCATTGTGGAGTCTGCTCTGGTGCTGGAAAACAAGGGCAGGAATGTTGCCACTGTCTGACCTAGGTTGGTGCTTGGGAATGCATCACTTGGTTTCATTCATAAGCATGGCTGAAACTTTTGAAGTTGTATATATCAAGACTATTATTGTTATCTACGTTGGAATGATTTGGTTGATTTCTACACTGTGGTTTGTTTTTGTTTGTGTCTGCGTATCTGTCTGCATGCTCTTATATCCTGTTGATGTTGAGCTTCAGAATGTCTTCAAATAAAATAAAAGGTTTTTTTTTTTATGTCAAATGCCCTCTGATATTCAACTTCAACAGGAACCAAGAGTATGCATGGAATGCACGCAAAACTATGCTCAGTAATGTTACCAAGTCAGTCAAAAGTCTGTGAAAAGATCTCTGGTTGATAGTTTTGTTGTGATTTTACTCTTGTATCTTTTTAATGGTCAGCTGAAGAGTACATTGAGCTATAATCCATTTTTGGCTGCGTCTAAGTTATGAAAGTATTTTTTTAAAAAATATATATAACGTACAATAACTGGAAGAAAAAAAAGTATTTCCACTGAAAATTTAGGAGTAGAAAATCTTCAAGCAATTTGAGAGGTTGATGGAAATTGAAGTTCAGCTATATTGCAGAAGTCAAAGATTCTACGTAAATCTATTTGTGTATGGAAAAGTTTGTGTATAATTTGAAAAATTATTGTCACAAATGTGGGAATAGATAAAAATTAATTACTATGCAAGGGCGAGGTTTCTTTGACCTGTATATTAGGGCAATGTATCTTCTTTCCAGTGGCATCTGCAGCAACTTCCACATCAACCCCATCCCCTGTAATCTGGACCTCTTTCTTTCCTGGTTGAAGTGAGGAAAAGCTGGGTTTCAGTCATGGTGAATGAATCCTTGAGAGAAGAGGAGCTGCCTTCCTCTTTGAAGGAGACAGTGATATGCCCCTTCTTAAGGAACCATTGCTCGACTCAGATGTACCCTGTTTCCCGAAAATAAGACCCAACTGGAAAATAAGTCGTAGCATGATTTTTCAGGATGCTCGTAATATAAGCCCAACCCCCAAACTAAGCCCCAGTTAAGATTGTCAGCCAGATGGATGCATTTGATACCGTATTTCCCCAAAATAAGGCCTAACCAGAAAATAAGTCCTAATGCGTTTTTTGGAGCAAAAATTAAAGACCCGGTATTATTTTTGGGGAAACACGGTACTAAATAAACTACTGATGTGTCTCCAACTCTTTCTGAGGAAAGAGAAAATAGTGGAGAAAATGCAAAAAGCCTTGAATGAAACAGATTATTTGGATCTGTTGCAATCCGGTTTCAGGCCTGGATTCAGTACAGAGACAGCTCCTGGTTGCACTTGGAGGGACCTGGTTAGAGGTAGTACATAATGTTGTCCTCGTTCTCCCCCAAATGCTGTCAGAGTGCTGTCCAGGTATTTGGAAGCTGCTTGAATCTGGAAGGGAAGGAACGGAGAGAAACTCACCAAGGCAGAATAGCATTGGGTTTGAAGTCCTGCTGATTCCAACGAGATACCATCTTTAGTTCTGAATGTGGTTTCATTTCCCATAATCGAACTGGGTTGTAATTTGGAGGTGTCAGGTCCTGGTTGAAAAGCATGTTGTATGTGGAGCGAAGTGGGTTATAGCTCTTCTTCTGCACCGGGTGATGCCAAAATAACAATACATGCTAGTGATGATATCACGTAAATGCTGCCTTCTTTTGTATTCTGACAAAATATTTGTGGGCTGCTGTACCAAGTTTACCTATTCTTTTGATGAGCAAGACTGCACCAAAGCTAATTGTCAATAGCCTCATTCATGTTTTCAGTGAAGGAAAAAAAAACAGTGAAGAGATTGCTTCCTGGAGAAATATTTCCAGCCTAGCCTTCTTATCATGTGATAGCCAATTCCATTTGTAAAACTCACTGGCAGAAAACGAACTCTTAAAATAAACAGCCTGCTTGATTTGCTGTGTTGCTTCATCTTCACTCCCCTCCCTCCCTCCCTTCCCCCCACCCTGTGTGTGTGTGTGTGTGTGTGTGTGTGTGTGTGTGTGTGTGTGTGAGTAACTATGTAATGGAATTCATGTGGGACATCCTTGAGTGGAATGAGGTGAAATAAGGTATATATGGACCTAGGGCAGTGATAGCTAACCTTTTTTCCATCGCGTGCCAGGAGAGGGGTTGTGGGGGAGGTTCGTGCGTGCCCATGCCCACACCCATAATTCTATGTGCCCTCGCTGCGCATGCGTGTGCAATCCCCCTCCCCCCCACTCCTGGCACGCGATGGCCTGGGAGGCCCATTTTTCTTTCTTACCTGGCTCCAGATCCTCTATGCATCTGGGAAGTCTCTCTAGGAGTCTCTGGAGGCTGGGGACAGCAAAAAACGTCACTTCCTGTCCCAACGGGAGTTGAGAAATGGGCCCTTTCAGGCCTTTGGAGGGCCTCCGAGGCAGTGGGAAAGGCTGTTTTCGCCCTCCGCAGATGCATAGAGAGGATCTGGAGCCAGGTAAGAAAGAAAAACGGGCCTTCCCCACCCCCCACCTCCAGGCCCTCCGGAGGCAGGAAACAGCCTGTTTCCCTATTTCTGGTGGGCCCAGAAGGCTCGAAAATCAGCTGGCCGGTGCGCACATGCGCGCCAGAGCTGAGCTAACGTGCCCACTGATATGGCTATGCGTGCCACCTAGGATGTCCCTCTTTTTAATCCTGAATCTACTGATTTCTTTCTTACAGCCAGACCCATATTGAGGAGGCCAGGCCACAGCTCCAAAAGCAGCTAGTGGTGGGTCAGTGGAAAGTGCTTTCATCAACTAACAGAGGGCAAGAGTTACAGCTCCCAGAGTCTTCTGTCAAGAGCCTGGCCGGTGGGGATGAGACCCAGTCGGTGGCACAACTGAATGTCTCCCGTTTGCGCAGCTCCTCGGTAGAAATCCGTGAGAAAGGCTCTGAGTTCCTGAAGGAGGAGCTCCATAGAGCTCAGAAGGTAAGCATGAGGTTAAGAAGGGGTGGAGAATTTGGCCACTAGTTCTAAACCCGCCTGTTGGCAAACATAAAGCATATGCTCAGATGTTGCCTCTCAGTGGGTCCAAAAGCTTCATCTGAATTGCTTGCCAAGAAATATTGAGCTTTTGTCCATTTGCATTAGGAAATTGACATTTTGTCCTGCCGCTCTGCTTGTCTTTAGGTGTTTGTGAGCTACATTGATTCCATTCTGTCCAAAGCTATTTCATATCAATTCATGAAGTAGACAGTTGCTGAGCAGGTAAAACGCTAGAATACTATTAGGAAATTAAAACAGAAAACCAGATGATTTATGTTATTCCATTTTTTTTCCTGCTAGGTTTTTACTGTATTATATGATTCCCCTCATACTCTGTAAAGTTCGTACATATATTATTTAAGCCCATTTCATATTACTGATTTTGGTGATTTTTCTAAATAGAACTTCGATCAAATGTCTATTTCTTACTTGGTTTCACGGATCTTATGCTTTTACAGAATCCTTACTGCTTCCTATTCATAAATGATGATATGTTCCTTTTGAAACAGGGATCATTACATTGTAATGCTTCTATGTAGTTTGGATTGCGGAACAGACTGGCTACAAGACCAGGGTTTTCCATAACAAACTGGATCAGAACTGAAATTTGGGACAACACACTTCCACATTGTGCTGTCTCGGCAAACAAGAGTTCCAGTCTGTTGCTTCTCTATATTCCAGACTCTGATTGACAGCAGGTTTTCTTTCCCCTCTTTCCTGCTTATATGATCTGGCTCTGGATCACAGCTGAGGACTTTGAATAGTCAGCTGAGAGTCTCATATTGCCTTTGGTTGCCCATAGGGAAGCCCAAATTATGGTATGCTATTTAGTGGGTTTATTTTCTTTATGCTTTTCTTTATATTTGACAATCTGAAGTTGAAGTGGTAGGAAAGTGAATTCAGAGTTCCATATTTTCTAAGCTGCATGTCCAAGTCCAGCTTTTGCCATTGCCTCCTTCAGTTAATATGTTTTTTTGGCAAAGCAGGCCCACTGAAAGTTTTGGTTAAGGTTTGTAAAACTACTTTCAGCTTAATAGGGGTAGACAATTGTCAACAAGTTTCGGTGTATGATAGATCTCTGTGGATGTACATGTGTGTTTGTATCTCTCTCTCTCCGTCTTTCCTTCTCTCTCTCCCTCCCCCTCCCTCCCTCCCCTCTCTCTCTCTTAGAATGACTATCATTATCTCTTGTGTTTTCTCTCTGCAGGAATTAAAGTTGAAAGATGAAGAATGTGAGAGACTTTCCAAAGTCAGGGAGCAGCTGGAGCAGGAACTGGAAGAGCTGACAGCAAGCTTATTTGAGGTAGTGTACTTTCCTAACTCGAACCTGGCATCCAAATCCTGAAGGTAATGGTATGGCTCCTTTACAAACCAAGTCCAAATTTTAGCTTAAGTAATTGGTGTACATCTTTGAAAACATCTCTTTGGACATTAGGATCCATGTATCTCTTCTCTCCCACAAAGTATGCTCTGATAGACTTTGAAAGCCATACTTGTTGAAAGAATAGAATTCTATCTTGGGTTTTTTTTTAATTGTATTATTTCATATTATGCATGTTTTAATAATTTACCATTAACATTTTGACCCAGGTGATTTCCTAGAGCTGTACTTTATATATTCAGAAAAGCTTTACTGTGTAAGAGCAGTAAAACTCATATTCCACTGGAAGAAGTTAGATCCAGCAAAAGCCACACTGTGTTGTTTCTTTGATTATGTAGGCCAGCACCAACAGGAACTGGGTGTTTGCATAAGAGCACTCTCTCCTCCGTTAGCAGAGCAACCATTTCTCTTTCCCTAAAGTCAGCAGAATCTGAGCTGGTGCATTTTCTGTCTCATTACCCTGATGTGTTGTAGTCCTCATAGGAATGGAAATTTCTCATTTTGTATGGATGCATAGCCTTTCTCTGGGGGATGAGGCTATTCATCCATGGCCTTGGGTCAGAGAGGTGTGCAGTCATTCTCTTGCCATTGAACATTAGCTAGAGATGAGCGAGGAATTTATTCAGTTCCCATTTTTCAGGGAATTTATCCAATTTGATCTTTCTGAATTCTTATGTAAACTTGAAATGCTGAAATCTGAATTTCACAGTGCACTTTGGAACTAAAACAAAAGGGGGGAGATGTACACAAAAATTGGTATGTGTTTTTTTAAATCGAAATTGCAAACTGGTACAGATTCACTCAGGCTGGAAAAATGAGAAATGGAATATAATTTAAGTGGATACGCCTTAATTATGAACAAACTTGAGAGAGCTTGGGTTCTGCAATCCACATCTAATTCAGATAGTCTTCCTTAACAACTGCATTTGGGACAGGTAACTCCATAGCAAGGTGACACAATCTTTAAGTGAAATATCATCTGACTTGCATCTGCTCCACTGTGGACATCAAGTGAATCACTTATGGTTGTTAAGTACAGTGTCATGTGACTGCATCTTGCAATTTACTGCTGGCTTCCTCATTGCTTTTGCTTGTCAGAAACTGACTGTGAAGGTTGTAAATGGAAATTACATAACAACAGCACGTTGTGCCTGTTGTAAGTTTAAGGACCAGTGATAAACCTATTTTTCAGTACTGTCATAAGTTTGAACAAATGCTAACTAGGGCAGTCAGTATCTGATTACTGCTTGTATATAAGTGTGTGGTCGAGGCAGGGGTGAAATCCTCCGTGGGTCGCTATCAGTTTGCTTGCCCGCGCATGTGTGGTGCGTGCCGGATGCATGCTGCATGTAAAATGTGCACCAAACGCACACTGCACATGCATGCATGCGTAGTGTGCATCAAGTGTGCGCTTCGCACAGAAAAAGGAGCCATTTGAAGGTAAGCAGAACAGCGGGGGGGGGGGAACAGCTGTGCTGTGTGATTTAGATTCACTAGAAAGTAGGATTTCTTGCTTTCTAGTGAATATAAATCGCATGGCACAGCTGATCGTCGGAAATTAGCTTTTTTTTTTTACTACCGGTTCGTTGAACCGGTAGATTTTATCACCACTGGTTCGCCTGAACCGGTGCGAACTGGTAGGATTTCACCATTGGGTGGAGGGGAGCTCGTTCTTATCCCTTTGCAAGATCATATTGACTGAAGATACACCAGGATAAGGCAAGTGAATAATATTCACCTATATGGCTCCAGGTGAATATTAAATATAAATTGAATACTGAATGCTTTATTTATTTTTAGTTTGCTTTTAAGAACATTATGTTTTGCTCTTTCAAACACATTCTCAAGGAAAATTATGAAAATAAAAGTAAAACATGCAGGAAGAACTCCACATATTATAAAAGTACTTTAAAATTGCCAGTCAAACATAAAGCTCTTTGTGGCCTGCACACTCTGAATCATGTGAGGACCTAATTTTTTTATATTGGTGAATTAGGATTGGCAGTGATCTTTCAGCTAAGAGGATTTATTTCAGCCCTATCCTCTCAAAATTCCAAAGTATTCTATGGCAGCCCCATTTAGAGCTGATAAATAAAAGATATGTCTCAGTCCAGTATTTTTTAAATAAAAATCTCAAATTTAAAATATAGATAGTCCTCAACTTACAACCACAATTGTGTCCAAAATTTATGTTGTTAAGTGAGAAATTTGTTAAGTGAGTTTTGCCCCATTTTATGATTTTTCTTGCCACATTTATTAAGTAAATCACTGAAGTTGTTAAATTAGTAATATGGCTTCCCCATTGTCTTTGCTTGTTGGAAGGTTGCAAAAGGTGATCACATGACCCCGGGACACTGCAACTATCATAAATATGAACCAGTTGTCAAGCATCCAAATGTAAATCACATGACCATTGGGATGTTGCCATGGTCATAAGTGTGAATAATGATCATAAGTTACTTTTTTCAGTGCCATTGTAATTTTGAACGGTCACTAAATGTAATGTTGTAAGTCGAGGACTAACTGTATTGGTGGTATTTTGATTGCCAAGACAAAAAAGACCCTGAAAAGAGGAAATGTTACCTTAGATACAGTACATGTTTCCAACAGGGAAAAAGAATTCTGTTTCGTATTGTGTGGTTATCATACCTGCCCTTGCCACTGCTTTTTATGGTATTGCAAGCCACCTGCCCAACTGCCACCAATTTGTAGTACATAAAAGTAACAGATATGCAGATGGAAGAGAAACCGCAAAAATAAGCTTGTGGAGAAGAAATTGGATGGAATGTTTTTTAAAAATCACGATTTAATCTCAATATTTCCATGTTGGCTGCACTCATTTTCCACATTACCCTTTCCTCATGAAGTTTGCTTAGAGTTCTGCATTCTGCAAGACTCGCCTGTCACCAGTTCTCAAAGTCTATGCTCTTCTGCTGTATGTGATTAAATGTTCCTTATTTTAATGTGCCCTGTGCACCGTGTGCCTGTGTTGGTTCTTATGGGTGGCAGTTTGGGAAAAGACAGTTGGGCCTCTATTCCATGTTCTTTAAAAGTTGTTCTTGCCATTTTTGAGAACCTGATTGCCTTGGACAAAAGCGTCCTTTTGTTTTATTCTATCTGCCATAGGAAGCCCACAAGATGGTCCGGGAGGCAAACACCAAGCAAGCAGCCTCAGAGAAGCAGCTGAGGGAGGCTCAAGGGAAGGTGAAGAAATCCATTTCATACATTGCCTTCATCCATACAATCATGGTGACCCCAAGACCATATCTACTAAGCATATCCCAAAGTCCATGAGCCTGATACTGAAAAGGAAGCTTTTAGATATGGGCTCCTCTCATGATCTGGATAGCAAACCTGCTTGTACTAGTTCCCAACTGTGTGGGGAGTGTGTGTATGCATACAGAAGTTCTGGAGCAGGGTTTTCTTTCAGATGTAAAGGTAGTGGGAGCCACTTGGGTGTAGAATATCTATTGCGGCTCCTTTCTCCTTCCTGGTTGGAGGCAACAGGTTAAAAAGGCCCTTTTATGTGGCAGAGTAGTCCAAATCAAGCTGTTGTACAGGAGCAGGAATCAAATCATATAATTTTTGGTGTAATTTTTCAAATGTGTTGTCAACCTGTTGCCTCCGTGCTGATAACTGTAACAAAGCCCAAGCCGATGGGACACCGTTCCTCTCAGTGAATGCTCATGGGAATTTGATGATAAAGCAATAAAAAGAATGCAGTAGGGTTTGTAATAACTTTGTAGAAAACTGTAATAAGTTTGTAGAAAACTGAAAACCAAACAGCTAAACATAAATGCACTGCGATCAAAAAGAGAAATCCTCTAAAGTTAAAGACCTGAGTTTTGCTGAAGCAGGAGACTTGGCTCTAGCTGACTGAAAACTTGTGTTATTTCACATGTTTTGGGAAATGTTTTCCATGCAGTTCTGGCAGTTCCAGTTCAGAAACACATCCTGCTGAATTTGCTGGGGTTTGCTTCCAAGGAAGGGAGCAGCGGGTTGTAGCCTTAGTAGGCATGAGCAAGGCCATAAATAGGTGTACCCCTATGGCTTGATACTAGAAAGAGTTCAGAGAGTATTCAGAAGGCAAAGAAAAGATAAGACAAACATGCTCTGCCTGCTGAAATACAGACCTATTTAGCAGCTATAGGAAGTCCTCAATTTACAACAGGTTGTAGACCGTTTAGTTACAACAGACCTTGAAAAAGCTATTTGTGACCTAGATTCGAAGTTAAAATGTCCACCCTCACATGACTGCATTTTGGGTGTTCAGCAGCTGGCCTGCATTTACAGCCACAGGCAGCATTCTGTGATCACCTGACCATGATTTATGACCTTTTTGCCAGAAACTGGTGTTTATTTCCTGTTTGAGGTAAAAAAAAATCACAACCCATAACGAACAATGGGTTTGCTTAACTACCATAGCATTCTGTTAATGGCTGCTTAAAATTGGATGCGGCCACGTGATTAACAACCATCACAACAACCATCACAAATTGCTTCACAACAACTTGTGACTGAAATTACACACTGAATTATAGCCATGTCGAGGACTACCAGTATACATTCAGAAACAATCCATGCAGAAAAAAAAGAAGGACCAAGAAGCATAATGTATTAAATACATTGCCTCAAGGACCTGGATAAAGCCTAGCTGTTGGATCCATTGTGAGATTTCTCTTAATGTCAACATTTTGACATTAAATCTTCATCCCCAAATTATCCACAGTAACTGAAGCCAATTAGGTTTCATCCCATTCTCTGGAGGAGCAGAAAATGTCTTTGCTTCCAGCATGAGAAACCTTCAGGTATTTGAAGTGTCTTGCTTAACCAGTTTGTGCAGAAGAGGGGACAAGAGATTAGTGATACATCACTGATGCTTCAGCTTCCACAATCCCTTTTTTGATAACTTTAAAAGAACTTGCTGAACTCGAACTTCTTGTATATTCAAAAATTCAAGAGGCACAGCTAAGGATTTTTGAAAGATTTGTAGCTATGAATTACAGAAAAAAAACTTGCCATTGTAATGTGATTATACCGCCATCTGTTGGCAGAGCAAAAGCAAATCACCTGAAAGATTTTGTGTTATATGCTTTATCCAACCATGAGAAATACAGATAGTCCTCGACTTACAACCACAATTTCTGTTGCTAAGCAAGACAGTTGTGAGTTTGCACCATTTTAGAACCTTTCTTGCCACAGATACAGTTGTTAAGTTAGTAACACAGTTGTTAAGTGAATCTGCCTTTTCCATTGACTTTGCTTGTTGGAAGGTCGCAAAAGGTGATCAAAAGATCCCAGGACACTGCAACCAACATAAATACATGCCAGTTACAAGCATCTGAATTTTGATCACATGACCCTAGGGATGCTGCAACAGCTGTATGTGAAAAATGATCATAAGTCACTTTTTCAGTGCTGTTGTAACTTTGAACAGTCACTAAGCAAACAGTTGTAACTTGAGGACTACCTGTGGCCGCCTTTGCATGAACCAGTATTTGTATAAATATTTTTATATTTGCCAGTATTTGTATAAATAAAAATTTTGCACCAAGAAAACCAGATATGTAGGTAACTAATATATGCAAATATGTACGCATCCTTTCCTATTTAGTGTGTTTGGTAGTTATGACGTACAGGGGAAAATCTTTATAAAGCTTATATGCTTAACATTTGGGGATTATGCAAGGAAATAAGAATAAAAACATGTAATTTAGAGGATATAAAGCTAGTAACTCCTGAACTCAACTTTCTGTTTGCTTTAAAGAAGAGCCCCGACTGATTGGCTTCATAAGCCATTAAATGTTCTCCTGGACATGGCATAATCCTGGGACCACCAAGTCCTTTGCTGATCAATGCTGATGGCTCTTTGTTTCTTGTCAGATTGACATGCTGCAGGCAGAGGTGACAGCCTTGAAGACGCTAGTTATAACATCAACTCCTTCCTCGCCAAATCGGGAGTTGCACCCACAACTTCAGAGCCCCACCAAAACATCCTTCAGAAAGGGACATGGACGCAACAAGAGCACCAGTAGCACCGGTGCAATCACAGTTGCTGGCCAGAGTGCACCCCAGGAGTCAGTCAACAGCGAATTCAAAGAGGTGGGTAAATGTGATCGATCTGCATCTAGCTTGAGGCCCTGGGAGGAAGCAAAAAATTATCAGCCATGCTGTGTTGTGTGTGTGGTGGGGAAATGCAGTAAGGCCAGGGGTCTAGTGGAAAAATCTGTTTTATCTTGTATTTACACAACCTGCTTCATTACAGGAAGTGTTGAGAAAAATTTCATTGACCTATTTTGATTAATTCCTTGATTCTGGTTGGGTTCTTTTGATATACTAAGTCAGAGTCAAAGAATTAAGCAGTAATTATAGTGTATAGGCATGAATGAGCTTAAATATAACTGGAATCAAACACGAGAAGTCTTGTAGGTTCTAGCCATGTTGGACCAGAGTTCCTGATATTGCTGGAGAAGGATAATTTGGGAATTCTGGGAGTTGCAGTCCCAGTACATCTGGATTAGATAGGATGCCACCTTTATGTACCTTCTGGGGTGGGGTATTTGTGCCCAAGGTCTTTTGTGACTGAGGTCGTCGTCTTTCTAATCTTCTGTCCCTCTCACACCATTTTCCTTTCTCTCCTTGTCTTTCTCCTCTTTCCCCCCTTCTCTCTGCCCTTGTCACCTATCTGTCTTGGTCTCCCATTCCTTAAAGTCTGGGGTACCCACTCTCCTCTCCCTGCTGCTCTGTATCGTCCCTGCGAAGGCAATCCACATCACCTATGAGCCAGGCTGGCGGTTCCTGGCAGCAGACTCTCCTTTCTCCTCTCCTCTCTCGCGGCAGGTAATCTCTCTTAGGGTGGGGTGAAGTAGAATAGCTCTGCGACTAAGAAGGTAGGCTCAGATATTTGGTCACAGCAGTGCCAACAAGATTTGCTGGTGAAGGTGTTCATAAAGTCTGAGGGAAGCTGTTCTTCTTCTGTACAGACAGTAAAGAGCCATGTCCTCACATTTCCTGTTGATTATATCCATAGCAGTTGTTGCCAGAAAGGGTGGGACTGCAACATCAAGGCTGGTTAAAAAATCTTAATAGTTGCAATCCCAATCAGTCTGGCTGTGGAAACTGGTTTCACTGATCTTGAGGAAGGATCAGTTCTGGGGACAAGAAATACTTTTTGGATGCGCTTTTAACACCTTCCCCCCGTTCAGTTTTTTCTTTAACACTAACAGTCATTTTTGTGTGTTCTTTTCTCTCTAAATGTTTTCCCTCTTCCCCCATACGGGTGCTCTGAGGTGGTTTCCTGGTCTCAGGTGAGCAGTCCCTGTAGCTCAATGCTTGTAATGTTGTCAGTAGAAACTTTTCCTTCAGGCTGCATTCACTGCTACATTCTTTTCATAGTTCTTGGCGTGTTTGTGCTCTGCTTTTTAAAACTATGTACGGACAGGAGAGTAAGAAAAAATCTTCCCCAAAATCTTCCAATATTGGAACCTTTTGTAAGCTTTTTTTTTTAAAAAAAAAATTCAGCTAGGGATGTTGGAAGTCAGTTATTTCTGTCCCAAAGGTGCTTTTTCAAGAGGCAACTGGACTTTCTGTTTTTTCTTTGAAGACGTTTCGCTTCTCATCCAAGAAGCTTCTTCAGCTCTGAGCTTCTTGGATGAGAAGTGAAATGCCTTCAAAGAAAAACCAGAAAGTCCAGTTGCCTCTTGAAAAAGCACCTTTGGGACAACCATAATCTGGATAATTGAGAATCTCCATAGACATTCAGTTATTTCTGATTATCATGGTTATGCCTTCTATTGTGGAACTTTCTAACCCTCTCCAACATTTGGAAGAGAACATGCTGGGAGAGGTTGGCGGCTTTCTGAAAACCTGGAGGTATTCCTGGGTTTTGAGGATTGTCTTTATTTAAAGAGGAAACCTGGAGGTACCAAAGTTTGAAGATTTTGAGAATTGCCTTTATTTAAAACAGAAGTCGGGAACTACAGCCCCTTTATGACTTGCTGGCTCAGGAATTCTGGGAGTTGAAGTCCACAAGTCATAAAAGGGCCATAGTTCACTACCCCTGATTTAAAACAAAGGTCTCGTCTATAGCTTTGGCAGTTCCGTGGGCCAGGTTGAGAAATGACAAGTTCTTTTCCACAAATCAAATATGAGTTGCTAACTTATTTACCTTTGGAAAGGAGAGCTCACAAATTTATGGAAGACTGGATGGTCAGTGGCTACTCAGGATTGCTGTATATTACGTCCAGTTTTGGAATCAGAAATCCCAAATGTTTAGCAATTGCTAAAAGCAAAATTGGAAGGGGGCTCTGCAATCATGTCCTATTTGCCTTGGGTTTCCCAAAGGCACCAATAGACATTTCTGGAAGTAATCAGCATTTGAGACTTGATTCATCACAGAATGTTTAAAATATTTTTTATCCTTAAGGGATGACTACAAAAAACAAGCAGGCGTGTTTTCTCTGTTGGCCTTGCCTGCCTGCTAATGCAAAATCATGGGTGCCCGATCGCCTTTACTTGCTTGATTAAATATTTATTTATTTACATCTTGGCTGGCTTACTTGACAGATGAATGTGATGCCACCGCAGTTGAAAAGACTCTTTGATCTTGTGAGTCTTCTCCCTGCCATATGAATACACGGCTAGAAGAAAGGACTCATTGCATCCTGCCTTTCCTAACTAATATGCCTTCTTTCGTAACAGTCAGAACCTTCCATAGAATGCTTCAAGTATGAGTTGTTTTTGAAATTGGCCCCTTATTCAACACAACTAAGTAGACATGCAGTGTTTTGGAAAAGACTCATTTTTTTTCAACTGGTGAAGGGATGCTTGTTTGCTGGGATCGGAAGTGAATTCCTTTTTGATGAAGGGAGGCAATTAAGCTTCTTTTCATGGGAAAGCCATGCACACGGTTATCTCCCTATTCAGTGGAACAAAAACTGAGATTTAAAATACATATCACTTGTTTAGAAGAGCTTAAAATTCATGTTGCCAATAGTAATAAAGTTATAGGAGAATGTACAGTTGAGCTGTCTAAGGTTTTCCTGCCCTTCTTCTGGACCTGTGGGAAGCAACTGAGTTGTCATAAAGAGAAGCAGGAGATTTTGCTGAGGCGCCGCCCTCTTTCATTGACATACTGCTTGAGTATGAATGCAGATCACAATCCATGCGAGGCTGTTTCCCCAAGGAGAAGAGGGAACTGATCTTCACCACTGATAGAGCATGTGAGCCCCTGTATGTTCAAATATTTACAGACTAATAACTGATGTTCTCTTTGGTTACCTTATTGGGATACTACTACTGTAATCTACTGATGGAGGATACATTGTCTCCTGATGATGCTCTCTCTGTCATGCCCTTTCTGCAGTAACCACAGCAGGAAGCAGAACTGCCTATTGCTGATGCATAAGTCAATTCTGTTTCCTTGCCTCATCATCTGCCTAATGAATAGGACATACACTAGAACCGTGATGGCAAACCTATGGCACACGTGCCAGAAGTGGCATGCAGAGCCATCTCTCCGGGAACGCAAGCCATCACCCGTTACTCTTCTGGGTTCTGGTGTGCCGGCCAGCTGTTCTTCATGCACATGGGAGCGCTGGAAACTGGAACAGCAGCTGCCCAGTGCGCATGCGCATGTTCTGCCCCAGCTACGGATCCCAAGGAATGTAGCACACACAAAACTCTGAACAACTCGGTTTACTACAAACACAGTCTTTTGCAAACGCAGGCTGTTAATAAAACGTCCTTAACAACCTGCCAGAAATTCCACAGATTAGATAAAGTCTTACAAGAGTTGGCAATTAGGCCAGAAGCAAGGTTTGCAAAGAAAATCCATATTCAATGACCAGCAAGTGAACATGTGTTGTTTCCTGCAATGTTTACAGGCTGTGTGCAAACTTAAATAGGCTAAGGGAGTGGCCAATTAGCCCCAAGCCTTACTCTTGAGGAGACCTCCTCCTGAGTAACCACTCCTGCCTTTTGGCAGCTCTGCTTGCTCGTGCATTGAGAAGAGGCTCCTCCACTTCATCCTCTTCACTTGAAGGAGCCTCTGGAGGTTCTGAAGGCCCTGGCTGAATCTCTGCCTCTGGCACCACATCTTCTTCAGCCTCCTCGCTATCCAACTCGAGTGCCGGCTGCACAGATTGCTGGCGCGACACCACACCAGCCTCCTCGTCATCAGGATCAGCAACAATCTGTGCAGGCCGCTGGTGAATCACAACAGCGCATGCCGGGCAGCTGCTCTTCCAGTTTCCGGCGGGTGCATGAGCACCGGCCACCTGGTCTTCTGGTTTCTGGCGTGCAGTGCACATGCGCCCGCCGGAAACTGGAAGATCATCTTCTCAGCGCACACATGTACACCGGGCAGCTGCTCTTCCGGTTTCATACACGTGCTGGAAACCAGAAGAGCAGCCGCCCATTGCACGCATGTGCACGGCTGCTGCTCTTCCGACTTCTGGCTTCTGGCTTCCGGCACACGCACCGACACACACGCTCCCGTTTCGGTACTCAGTGCCCAAAAGGTTCGCCAACACTGCACTAGAAGAACGTTCTGGTTTTTGTGAGGTTTTCCCTCACAAAACCTTTCTGGTTTTCCTTCTTCGTGCCTGTGTATCTGTGTATGTTTTTCTCTCCCTAGTTTTCTTCAACAGACCTCTGTTTCGTGGTTTTCTGTCGCTGCAGGTGGACTCCATCTTGTTTGCAGAATTTCAGGCTTGGAAGGAGTCTCCAACATTGGATAAATCGTGTCCTTTTCTCAAGCGGATTTACCATGAAGATGTAGGCCCTTGCCTGGACTTCACCAAGCATGAAGTCAGTTTAAAGATGAGTTGTTCAGAGATTTCTGAGAGATGAAGGTGCTTCTTCCTTGTTGACATGAATTCCTTGTGTTTGTTTTCTTTGGTGCAGCTTTCAGAGCTAGTTCAGGCAGCTGTGGAGCAGAACACCCTTACCATTGAACCAGTGGCTACTCAGACATTGCCGGTAGTGAAGGTGGCAGCCATTGAATGCGGTGGACCAAAGTAAGATCATAACAGCTGTCCAGCTGCCTTTTTTTTTTTTTTACTCCCCCTCTTCTTCCACAGATGCACCTTGAGTTTTTAACATGCTACATTACCAATTGCCTTTCTGAAACAAGGTCTTCTATTTGGTTGTTCACGGAATTTGTTTTACTGCCCCATTGTGTATCCTTCCTTTCAGTTTGTACTGCTTGGCCCACAAAAATCAGAGGAGGAAGCAGAGGAGGCGAAGGGATCAGTAATAGGAGAATCAGATTACATGAATGTACAAAAGTATAAATTTTATTAGCAACAATCAGCAGTTCTAATGGACCTAAATTTAGCCAGAAAAGCACTACAAACTTGGGTACTAGGTGAAAATTGTTTTATGCTGATGCAAAAACTATCTTACTGCTGGTGCAGTAAGAACTTGACTGAAGGGATGCTTATCTTCCAGGCATGGAAATCAGACATTAAGGGAGCCTGAGAGATATGATTAAATATTGTTGATGGCTACCCTCAACCACCACTTTGTGAGAAAATATGATTTGATCTCTATGTCTTACTATTTGTACACAACTCTGAGCAAAGGATTTAAACTGCCTGGAGTTACCCAATTGCTTTCTCTCATTAGACTGCATGGCTGCTAAGGTGATTCATCTGCTGTGCAATCCCCCTCCCCCTGTCACCAGTGCGAGGTGGCCCACAAGAAGGGGCACGTGGTTACTTTAGACCCAAGTGGTATGGTCTGTCTGCTGGGCTGGAAATAATTTATCCTTGAGACAGATATTCTCTCTGCCCCATTTAAACTTTAGGAATAGTGCAACCCAGAATTCTGCTACTCTGAGTTTGTTCTTATCGCTTTCTTGGTAGGTATAGGATGTGCACTGATGATATTACCTAGTTAGGGTAATGAGATGTCTGCAAGAAAACAAGCAAGCTCAGAGAACTCCAAAGACCCCTCATATAGGATTGTAGCCTAAATAATTCAGATGTTAATCTTCCCTCAGTTTGAGCTGTGCTTTCTACACACACACCGCCATTAGTCCAAGAAGAATGAATGTTGCCATTTCTAGCCTAATACTAGTTTCAACTTCTTATTTCTTCTCACAGTGGGTTCCGGTCCCAAATTATAACGTAAGTTATTTTTTTTAAGCCAGTTGAAAAGGTATTTACTCCATTATTAATAAGCTACTAACCCAAGTTGTTACTAACAGCTTTGTAATTGGTGCTATCAAATAAATTGTAAGCATTCAGGATGCTGACAACATACCATATAGGTAATCTTCAATTACAACTGTCTTTGAAATGGTTCATCTTTATTCCTGCACTGCTGGGTATATAATCCCAGAGGAATATTTTTGTCTACTAACTATCAACTTTCTCCGTTAATATTAACTTTATTTGGTTTTCTGTGATGCTGGTTACCTCCCAAATCCTATAGCTAGACTTTTGAGATGTTTTGATTTTTAGATGTTTTGAGACTGAACGCCCCAAATGCACTTTTCAAACAAGCTGCAAATAGCACATTTTGAATCAACAAAGTTTGATTCAACAGAAGCACTGATTAGCCTCCAAGATGAAAAACAGGAAGCAGGAGGGCTGTACAAAGACAAGCATGTTGGGGAATTCTGGGAGTTAAAAAACACTGGTTTAGATTGTTCACAGTTTTAGCTGACAGAATAGGAAGTTCTCCTCCCAGAATATAACAATCCCTAATATGAAGTTGACAAATTTACCATCCGCTTCTAAGAAGTGTAAATTGTAAATTGAACTGAATTGAGTTGAGTTGAGTTGAACTTCTTTGTTAATAAGTATAGCTTTATACTTATTATACTTAGCTTTATAGTCTTAATATATTTTAGGATAAATTCATAGTACAGAGAATAACTTTAAAAAACCCGATAACATACTGTGAAATCCTTTAATAGGATGCAAAAATGAAGGTCTTTGCTTGGGTTTTCATTGTGGTGACCAGCATCATGTTTTGTTCCCTTTTGTCAAGGCCTCTAGATGACATCCTGCTTAACTCTTTCTACTCCCACCTCCCTTTTCTTAGGAAATGCGCTCTGAGCGGCCTGTCCCGAGCCTGCAAGCATCGCATCAAATTGGGGGATTCTGGGAATTATTACTACATTTCCCCTTCCTGCAGGGCCAGGGTAAGTTCTTGTTAGTAATGTGCCTAGCAGAAAATAATATAATCTTTATCTTATACACATTATGTATAAATGTGAATACATGCAGAAAAATTGTGTTCAGCTTGCTTGCATTTGCTTTGCCTTGCTCCGTGCCTTTTTTAGGTATCTTGGCATCTGATGCCAACAGAGTAATCTATCATCTTAAAGACAAAAGAGTTTACAATTGTCTGTGCTATTCACATAAATGTTTTCTGTAAATATTTCCAAATGTGCTTATAAATAGGTGTTATGTTTGTTCCCTCTTTCAGATTACAGCTGTATGCAACTTCTTCACTTACATTCGGTACATCCAGCAGGGACTGGTGAGACAAGATGGTAAGAATTCCCCTCTTTTTCTCTCTTTGAGATGTGGAAGTTGGGCTCTTCACTTTGTAGCTAATTCACAAGGTACACAACCAACTCACGTGATTACAAATGGGACCACCAAATCATTCCAAGCATTTTGGATATTTCATAAGGGAACATTCAAGAGAGTATTATTCCCCACCCCCCTTGTAAATGTTACCCAAAGCAGGTAGAAAAGAAAGGAAGTCTAGCTGAACTAATGTGTTCAGCTACATTACCTGAACTTATCTAGATAATCTAATGTGTAATGGCATAAAGTTCCTGTGCATAAAATCAAACCCCAAACTCCAGAAATAAGTTCAAGAAGGTATATGTGATGTTAAGATCCACGTTCGGATTTGAATTTTGCAGAATTTGAACTATTTTTAGGACAGCATATTAATTAAAAATGGGTAGGGTTTCAACATACAAATGCCTTCCATTCAGTGAGAAGATAAATATGTGGTTGTCCTGGGCAGAAGGAATAACCTTGTGAACAGGAGGAAGAGCCACAACTAAGATGCTTGGGTAAAAGAAATCTGAATCCAGAGCAGAAATGTAAGCCAGTGCGAGCTGCACTGGCTCCTGGTGGTCTTCCGGGTGCGCTTCAAGGTTTTGGTTACCACCTTTAGAGCACTCCATGGCTTAGAACCTGGATACTTACAGGACCGTCTGCTGCCACCAATAGCCTCTCACCGGCCAGTACGCTCTCACAGAGAGGGGCTCCTCAGGGTGCCGTCGGCCAAACAGTGTCGGCTGGCGGCCCCCAGGGGGAGAGCCTTCTCTGTGGGGGCACCTGTTATCTGGAATGAGCTCCTCTGGAGATACGGAGGATCCCGGATTTACGCACCTTCCGCCGCGCCCTCAAGACCTTTTATTCCAACAGGCTGGCCTGGCCTAACTTTCCCTTTTAAATGGTATATGAGTAATTTTAAATCTGTTTTTAAATATGGGGATGTTTTAATTCGTCTCTGGCCAAATTGTTTAATACGTTTTTATATTGTTTTAAATTTTATAATCTGTGTGTTTTATCTTTTTGGCTGTTCACCGCCCTGAGTCCGCCCTGAGTAGGGTGGTATATAAATCTAATAAATCTGAGTTGGGCGGTATATAAATCTAATAAAATAAAATAAATAAATAAATAAATAAAATAATATGAGAAAGTGGAGGGCTGATGGTGGTGGGAAAAGAAGATATCATACTGTTAAGCAAAGTACAGTGGTAACACCCCCCCCACCTTTTGGTCCATAGAGAAATAGCCATTATTGCAGGGCAAGGATCTTGCTTTTGTGCCACACAAACGATACACATCAATTCCTCTACCTTCATATTTTATCAAGATCTCTTGTTAAAATATGAAGTGGATTTTCCAAATGGAAGGGATAGGTTCCTCAAATGATTCTCATGACTTCTGATCATTTGGCCATGCTGGCTGAGCCAATGAGTGTTGAGCTCAGGAGAGCACTACCTTGGGGAAGCTAGCCTTCTGCTACAACGTTTGCCTTCTGCTACAACGATTTCTCATTTGCTTCTCTGTTTAATCTCTCTCTTTTCCTTTGACCCACAGTGGAATTGATGTATTGGGAAGTCATGAGGCTTCGGAAGGAAATGTCCATTGCTAAACTGGGCTTCTATCCCAGCGAGATGTAAATGGAAGATGATGATCAGGAAGGATTTTTGCTGTCAGTTATTCTGTGGACACCCAGAAAATCGATGACAGAATGTCTGCTCATATTCAAGATGGTGCAATATTAATTGAAAATGTAAGAAGCACAGGCTTTTCCTGTTGAGTGACAACTTCAGTTTCTTGAGAGCACCTACTCCAGGCATTTTTACCTAGTGAATATGAGCTCTCTGGCACTATGGAATGAGGCCATGTTGGAACTCCTTCCTTTTTTCTATGCATTCCTCCTCAGCCAGTATATAATGTTCTACTTAAAAGCCACTCTATATACACACATATATAAATATATAAAAACATATTCCTGAGGCCTCGGCTGGACCTTGGGCTCATTATCTGTTTGCCATTCTGAAATCTTAAGTGCTATTGATCATTGCTGCATAATGGATAGATAGATAAACTACTGCTCCAGCTTTCCAAAGACATGCTCTTGCTGAAAACGGCCTTCCTTGAAAGCTGCAAGGTGCAGATTCCTCCAGTATTTCTTAGGAGCTTGAAAGAGGTAGTTGGGAAAGGTTTTGCTTTTGTTTCTGATTGTAGCTCAGGGTTTTCCTTTGAGGGATCCACAGACCCTTTGCCATACTCTGCACGCTGGTATTAAAGCCACTCCTGATCAAAACCCCAGTCACGATGGAAGGATGGGGAAATGATCTAATGGATAGCCACTTGTAACTGATGGACTTCTTTTTTATGCCACGGACATTCTAGAACAAGCTCTTCCTACCTGAAATTCTTTCTCCCAAGGCTTCTTCAACTATGCTTCGTTGCATTCAACATACCAGTCACGGATCCATTGCCATGACCTTCTTTAGCCCACATTTCTGCTGTACTCCTGGTTCTCATTTAGAGGCTTGCATTTGGCTAAGTATTTTCTAAACTTAAGCCCTCCCCCCCACCCCCACCTGATTCACATCCAAAGATTGACCACAGAGACTGAATTTTCTAGTAAGTCCTTATACACATTCTGCAGTTTTTAAAAAAGTGGGGGCTATCTGGATTTCATAAGTGAATCTTCAGTTTTGATGCTACAGTATTGATGAGGATCTCTCTCTTTTTATTGTATTTTAGGGTATACTAAAAGTTGATATTGAATTTTTAATTCAAATATCTAGATGATCTGTTGGGTGTAAATACAATGAAAATGCCTTTCATTTTCTTTGGTTAAAGAAGGAAACAGCTTTTCCTTTGGGATAATATTTTGAAACTTCTGAGATGAGAACAGCTGATACAGGCTTCCTAGAAGACATAATTTCCCTTGGTAGCCATTCCCTCCTACTTTCAGACCGAGTGGTCTAGTTGCTGGTTACTGATTGCGGAAGGCACTTGCTATTTCAGCTTCAGCTGAATAATGACAATGAAAATCAGGTTTTGTTGGTAATCCATGAATTCACAAAGCCTCTACAAACAGAGTCTCCTGCTTGGATGAATTTAGCCAATCAATTCAGCTAGTGTTACTGAGAGATTGTTCCATTGGTTCCATTGGGCATGTATACCTGGTTGGCAGCAGAGTTTTGCATACATTGTGGCTTCCTTTTGGCTCCTTATGATTACACCCTCGTCCCAGATCTGTGTGGACTTTACCAGGTTTTCAACTCTACCATCATAAGAGGAGGAAGCCAGAACATGACACAGTGCCTAGAGGTTATCAACTGATCATTGGTGGGGTTGTTGGGATTATGTTCTGAATGCGATGTGAAGCCACATCTGACTGACAACACATCTGAGTTGTCTATAATAGCTGAATTGGACCCTACCATTTCCATTCTTGGGGAAGTAATGTTTTCTTCAGTTTGCCTTGAAATTAATAGGTTGACTTCACTAATATGTTGTGTTTATGAGCAATAGAACAAGCACTCTTTGGCATTTTCCTGGAAGTTATTGACTTGGGAGTGTTTGATAGTGTTGCATATCAAACAGTATTTTCTTGACCCAGTTCTTGGAGTGGAACTAAAGATGCCCCACTGCTTTGTTGTTCACTATCCCTACTATCCTACTATCCTAATCATTTATAGCACCACTTGAGGGCTAAAGACATAGCAGTCAGGAACTCTTCTCTTAAAGGATGTATTTGGGAAATATGCTGTTGAAATTACTTAATCAGGAGAACAAGTAGTAACACACCCTTTTCCTGCTATAAGATTTCTGTGCATCACAGGGCACCTGCACCAAGATGGATGAATAAGCCAGAGTTTTAGAATTGCTTCTATTACAACAGAGAGTGCTGCCTTTATAATCTCACCTCTCAGACACCTAAAATGATGAACTATGTGAGTATATGAAGAACGATCTTTTGGGCCAGAGATGCAGTTAGTCATGTAGCATCTTGCAAAGACCGCAGAATGAAATTGTCAAAGGAGGCCTTAAATCTATTCATACTCAGTGGTGAGCATGTATCTGATTGCTTTTCTATTGAGCTAAAACCAGAAGTGAAATGGTTTCTAGCAACATTTGCTTCAAGAATATTGACTTCTGCAATTTTGCCTACTAGGTGATTAAGGAATTGACCTATTAAGGATGCGCCCTAGAGCATTCTGATATTCAATCACCTTTCCCCAGCCCAGTGTCCTCCTGATGGGTTAACTGAGAACTCTAGTCCAGCTCATCTGGAAGACAGTAAGAAGGTGGAGGGTGCATTAAGGCACTGTGATAGGCAAGCAAATAATAAAAGATGGTGAAGAACAACTGAAGAGATCCTTGTAGAAATGGTGACTGCCTTATGAGAAATTTCAGTTTGTTCATTGAAAGGAGATTTAGCATTGTTTTGAGTACAAAATGAACTGTTGTGAAGAAATATCCTCTGAAATTTCATCTGCAAAAAGTATTTCTCACACTAAATTCCCTGCAAAGGCCTCCAGTTTATTTCATACTGGCTGGAGGTTTTGCATTGTCATTATTTACTTATCAATATTTGGTCCAATAAGAGATGAAGGAAATGATTAGATCAAGATGGCTTTGCTAGCTGCCAGTTTTCCCAAATTACAAGAATTGGTTGCCTGAAAAGAAAGAAAAAAGCATATTACAGCAGCTTTGAATCTTTTCTCCTGGTTGCATTATTATCTCTTCCTTATTTCTGTGTTCCTATTCTAATAACGTATGCTGATTTCTATTTAATAAATAGACTCCAGTGTTGACATGAAGCTGGTTCTTATTGCCATTGGACTTATTTCTTTTGAAGTCTGCATGTATTCCAGTGATAAAATAAACAAGGCATTACAACCCGTATTGATTGTGTATATATATATATATATTAGTGTTGGAGCTTGAATTACTATTAATTTTACTGCCTTTAGAGACATCATTATGGCAAACATTTTTCCATACAATCACCAGCACTAGAATCCAATTCAGATTACCTAAATAACAAACTCAAAATTGCACCCAAAAAGAGCCTTGGCCTAAAAGTCAGCAGTATCTCCATTGGGGTCAGAATGACCCATCAGTTTGAAGCATGACACATTAACCATGGAAAGGATGCATGTCCTGTTCAAATGGAGAAATCAAAGATACCTAGCTCCAGAGTCCAAAACAATCCCTTTTGGCTTGCATAGTTAGTTCACAATAAGACAAACCACCAAGGAGCGAATAGAAACAGTACCCACAAGTATTCATGACAATACTTTGACCATATTGTTTATTTTAACATAAAATATTGGCTTGATTTGGATCAGAGGAATGTCAGAAGCATAGTCTGTACAGATTAACTACTTTTTCTATTAACTGCTTGCCTGCTCAAAATACTTCCCCATCAAATACTCTGCTGTGGCATTACTTAAGTGTCACGCTTTGTAAGCATGAAATGGCCATTTGGTTGAGTAAAACAAGAGCTCTTTGTGTGGAGGAAAGAATGATTTGAGGTAGAAAATGACTCTCTCATTCAGAACACACCCCAAAATACAAATTGGCATTTTTCTCTTTAGGACCAGGCTTTGATCGATGTTCTGGCCTAGAATTTTGCTTCCTGGAACACAAATCCTAAAATCCAGGAAAGGAGATCTGTGAATAACGACCATTAAAGGTTTTCAGTATGAATTTGAACATAGGTGTTCCCTACCTCTTGACTAATATGCTCTACAAAGCACAGTCTGTCATCCTATTTTATGCTCCTTGGAATATTGCAAAATTTGAGGTAAAAATTAACTTATAAGTGCACAGACTAATAGACAGTTGATTAGGGTTATATGGGTCTCTTAGTTATGAGCAAATGTGATGAAATTAAATTATAATTCATCTCTGTGTGGCTTAGTTCAATACGTTGCCCTAGTGAAGATTTAGTTTTCCTAGTTTTATTCCTGTGCTATATTTGTAAAACTGCAGATTAATGTGGGCTTTCACACAGCCTGATGAATTAACTCATTTGAAACTGTATAGATTAGAAAGAATCTGCCTCCCTGACTTTAATTGGATGTTAGCTCCTGGTGGTTTTTTTGTTTTTTTTTAATCTATACATAATCTGTGGGCTCTGGGTAATCGTGAAAGAAAGTGTGAACTGTGATGAGCAACTGGCATTTTTGGAAGAGCCCTGACATTGCTTTTTTTTCTTAAACTATTTACAGCAGCCTTTCCCTCCTGTTGCCCCTTAAATGCATTGAGCTTCAACTCTTCATTACCTAGTAATGAAACATCTGCAAGAAAACAACCAAGATCAGAGAACACCAAGGATCCCACAACTCTAATACCGTAATCCCCAAGCAGATGGGGATTGTAGCAGCTGGTCTAATGTATCAAAAGCACAATTAAGGATCATTCATTCATTCATTCATTCATTCATTCATTCATTCATTCATTCATCACATTTCTACATTTCACCTAAATTGAGTTGAGAAGACTGACTTCCTGGTGGGAGAATCTACAACACTCTGGGAACTAAATCTTGATCTAGTTAGCAATAGTGGTTAGCTTTTGAGAAATAGGCATATACCATATAAATATGACAAAATAAACTATAAAAGCGGTCCATTTAGTGGTATTAAGTTTTTTTTTTTCTTAAAAAGGATATTAAAACAATAAAGTGACTGACTGGAAACTGAGATGCTCAATCTGAAGATCCATGTAGCTAAATTTCAAATGAGTCTGTCCTTGTTATGCTAATTTCAAGAACAATTATCAACAGAGTGTTTCATTTTCTTGCTCAGGAGCAGCTGATACAACAAATATTCATGTATGCTGATGCTTGAATAAAATGAATGCAAAGTTCCAAGGCCAGGGAATATGAGAATTAAATTCATGGCTCAACCACACTTTGGGTTGCTGAGTAGCCTTGATCCCGGAGAAATCCTGAAGGAAGGGAGAGTTTAACATGTAACAAATTTCCATATTATACAGACTGATTTTCCTCTGCCCATAATAAGATACACCAACAGTCTCCAAAGAAGAGCTTTTCCAAATGCAGATAGCGTATACCTTTGAGAGAAAAAATTGGCACATCTCTGGCACATGAATCAGTTTGATACACAAATGAACTTTTTTTAAAAAAACCCTCTAAAATAGAACAGTCTCCTGTGTGGAGGATGTAAGAATCTGATGCCAATCTATGGTTAGCCTTTCTACAGAATAACTCTTTTTAATTTTTATTACCCACTCCCCATGTGTTTCTCTTTGGCTGAGCTCTAGGATCAAAAGAGTGTCTGCCTTAGCAAACAATTATGTACAATTTGTACAGGAAGAATTCTGCCTCTTGCTGATAAATATATACCATCCCATCCTCTTTCTATTTGACCAGGATTTGATCCAGATTTTAAGACAACTGCCATTGGGATTAGGTTGGCCCTAAACCAGTGGTCCCTAATCTGTGGGCCATGAAGGGTTTGCAGCTGGGCTGTGAAAATGGCCGGTGAGTGGGTACGCATGCATATCCTCACTTATGTGAGCAGTGGGCTCCGTTTGCATAAGTGGCAGGTGTGTGTGCAAGCCGCTCACAGAAATGGAACTGTGTGCCGTGTGCTTTGCACGAACCATCCCCTTTCCCCTCTCCCCGCCAGTTTGCAAAGCCGGAAACGTTGGGGAACTCTGCCTTAAATGTAAACCCTGTCAAATATTGACAGAAATAATTGTTTCATTCCATCCCCCCTCTGCAATTCACCAACTAATCATTGAGAGTAAACGTTTCCTTCCATAATGAATATTGGTCGTTAATAATCTCAATGCTTTTTATAAAGGTAATCCTCAATTTACAACTATTTGTTTTAGTGACCATTCAAAGTTACAATGTACTGAAAAAAGACAATTGCTCCTCACACTTATTCTGGTTCGAGCATCCCTATGGTCACATGATCAAAATTCACTTGGCAAGTGGAATGTATTTATGACAATTGCACAGTCCCGGAGTCATGTGATTACCATTTGGAGCCTTCCTAGCTGGCTTCTGTTAAGCAGTCAATGAGGAAAGCCAGGTTCACTTAACAACTGCATAATTCAGATAGCAACTGCAGTGATTTTGCTTAAAAACAGTGTCAAAAAAGGTCATAAATTGGGCATGATTCACTTACCAACTTCCTTGCTTAGCAATGGAAATTCTGGTCTCAGTTATGGTCATAAGTCAAAGACTTACTTGTACATCACCTTTTATGTGCCTAGTGTCTAGTACTATATCTCCTAAAAAGGGGGTGGTTAAATACAATTTCTTTAACCACTTCTTAATGGATTTCCCCCCCCCCTCTATGTTGTTTATTGGAATATACTACATTTTGCAAACTCCAACAGGATATGTTAATAGGATTTTACAATCTGACCAGCTTATACACTGTTATTGTGCACTTCTTTCAAGGAACTCAATGTGGTGTATGTTGTCCTTTCCATTCTTATTTTATCTTCACAATAATAGGTGGAGTAGGTTAGATGCTGGCTGCAAAGGCCACTATAGTAGTGAACATCCCAGCTGAGCAAAGAGTCAGAGTTCTTCTATTGGAATCCAGGCCTTAGTCCTTTAAATCACTGGCTCTTCTATCTCTAGGCATCAAAGGAGTCCAATTATGGAAAAATAAGAGGTAGAGGAAGAAAAATCAAGGACTGCAGGCTCAGTAGCCTTGCATTTGCCATCTTTTTAGAGCAGACTCTTTAGGCAGTGGTGGGCTGCTGCATGGTCGCAAGGGTTCGGGCGAACCCTTAGCTCTGATCGCTCGCTGGGCCCACCGACCCCCGTGTTTGCTATGCTTTCCATTTATAACTAACTTTCTGGCTTGTTGGCTGGCCGCGCTGCACCTGCTGTACTCATCAGAGCTGCCTGAGTTGATTAGGAGCATGTTTCTCTCCCAAAGGGGCACGTGTGCTCACAATCAGTGAACCCTTTGTTAAAGTAAGCGCAGCCCACCTCTGTCTTTAGGAAACAATCTATGTAGTGCCATAGTATAAAAGGACAGTGAACGCTTCTATTAGAGTACACCATTTCATTTTTAAAAGACTATGTAAAGTAACAAAAGGAAGCTTCTGCAATGCAAATCACTTGCAAGGTTACATTAATTATGATTTCCATCACTTAGATTCTACACAGCCTAGGTGCTTTGCTTAGAATTGTGCCCACCTGCAAAGGAAAAAAAATCTAAATTTGACTGATATAAAGCATTCTGGAAGGTTAAGAGTGGATAGGTAGCTGTCTCAATGATTTACTTTTGTGGATATGGGTACTTTGATATTGACCATACCTACCATAGCAACCATTTCGTAGCAGGAGTCCTAATATGCTCTCAATCACAAAAGGCATTCAACAGTGTAAAAGAAAGGTTGTGAGACTAGCAAAACCTGATCGTAATTTTTTACTTAGTAGACAATCCTGGGAGATTGTCCCCCCTCCCACTGAAGTGTGTTTCTAATTTTTCTGGACTTGAAAGAAAACTTCCAGCGGAATCATGGTGTCTTGATTGTAGGATTTCCTTCTCGTCTACTACAGATTCTCCACAGTTTTGTACTTAGAGTGTTTTCTAAGTCAGAAGAAACTCCCCTGGGAAAAGGGAAACCCTGGAAATCAACCCTTTTGCTTCCTTGTGTAGCTGGATGCCCTCAAGAGTGCTTTTTTTAAGAAGTAATCAGTTGAGTCTCCAGCTGGGGGCAGGGCAGCCAAGAAGCAAGCTGACTGTGAAAGAACCAGCCATTCTTTTAAATATTCTCCATGGATGCTCCTGATGACAGTCTTTTTTTAAATTGGTGACTTTTTTAAATTGGTGGGCTACAACTTCAACAATCCTCAGCAATGATTACCATCGGTTAGGAACAGTAGGAAATGCTATCACAAGGTGAATGGCAAGAAAGATGACAGCTATGCCCACATCATTGAAAGTCCATCCCTTTCTTATTGGGCATTTCTGAGCTCCAGGGTAGTATCTGATTCAGGCCCTGAAATTTAGCAACATTATTCATGATTCCCTTATTTCATCCTCCTTTTGATCCAGCCTTCTTTCACCATATATTAAAGTTCATCCTAGCTTCCCCGGTGCTTTTTTATAACCTAATGTAAATCTCTCTCTAAGAATAGCCTGACCTGTTTTTCATAGGTTGCCTACTTTAGAATCTATTCATATCTTCAACAGCATTGAGGGAGGAAGATTTGAGGTACAGACCATTAAGGTACAGACTGGAAGATTAATGTTGAAGATGAATTACCTCATTCAGTTCTAATGTGCCACTTAAAACTTTCATTGAATACATACGCATGAAGTTTACAGAGAGCTGCACTATACCTGCAAAGACCAAAACAAGTCATTTCATGCATCTAGCACAATCTTTTCAAATGCAATTAAATCACTAAATTAACTTCTGATAACAAGAGTTCCAAGTTTATTTTTCTATATATGATTTTAAGGCTGTATGACTGATCCAGCATGGCTCTTTGTGTCTCAGAAATGGTGCCGTATTTAGAATTCTCAAATCTGTAGTTACAAAAAGACATAATAAAAATACAGGTTGCATAAGTCCTCAACCTGCTGCCTTTCAAATTTGCGGGACAAAGTCTAAGTAAATGGGTTATTTATTTATTATTAGATGTTAACCTCCTTTATCAGTTTGTAAGTAATTCAAGATGGCAAACATACCTAATATCTTCCTCCTCCTATTTTCTCAACAACAACAACAACAACAACAACAACAACAACAACAACAACAACAACCCTGTGAGGTGGGTTGAAAGATATGAATAAGATACTTGGTTTCACTATATATTCAAGAATCACTGCTGAGACTATAGTTGAAAAGAAGATAATTTCAACCTTCTGCTTGAATGTTGCCAGGCAAGCATTTCTTTTTCTCTTTTCCCTCATCACTCTTTAGTTTTATAAAACACAAAAAATAAGTAAAAGCTTCTTTGGAGAGACCAATACCTCTATTCAAACAAGCAAAAGGTTATGATACCAGAATATAGCCAGCAGATGGGCAATTATCTAGTGATTAAGTCCACCGTTTTAGTGATTCTAGATAGAGTCATAAAGAGTCATATACAAGTGTGCCATTGAATAAACGAAATTACTTGAGTGGTTTTTTTGAGAAACAAAAGCAGTCAGTTTATTAGTCCACTTCCTAGATAGATGTTCCATGGGCACTATTGTGCCATTCCAAACACTAGACTTTTGTCACAGACAAACTGAGGTTGCTCTTACAAATGAAGAATGAAATAGCAAAGCATCTAAATTATTTCTAAATTGTTTCTTGTCCATGCTTAAGTCATGGGGTTAATATTATCTGTAGAACTTTCACCTGTTATTGTATTTGCAATCTTAATAAAATATGTGCATTTCATCCATATAAAGACTGTAATGATATAGCTCAGCAACAGCCTTTCTATCTTAGTATTCCTTGCCACAATGATATTACAGTATTTCTCTAATTTAATCAGATTAAAGGTTCATCTTGGTTGAAATGTCAGTTGGGAATTACCATACTTCACCTCATCAGGAAAAAAAAAAACTCCTCCTTGTTTCTAATTGCTTTTTCTTCTTTTAGCAACCAAGAAACTTAAGGAAGCTCTTTTTATCCTAACAAAAGCAGAAAACAAAATCCAATATAGCAGTTACTATCCTTGGAGGCAAATATTCTTTAACAATAATGGCATCTAAAATAAATTCTAATCAGAGGCAAATCCATTCTGTATGAACTATATAAAGTGCAGGCAGCCTTATGATTTCTTGTTCTCAAACCTGAATATGTATGATCACCAAAATAATAACAATAATAAGGTTCCCCTTGTCACAGGAAGTAACTGTTCTCTCCTGGGTTGGTTAACCTCATCTTAAGTATTGTGTGCAGTTCTGTGCACTACACTTTAAGGATGCAGATAAATAGAAACAGGTTCACTTAGGGTAGCAAAGATGGACACTAGGTCCTAGGAGGAAAGACTGAGGGAAATAAATAGGTTTCATTGTGAGGAGGCTAAAAGGAGATATGTTAGTACAAAGTACCAAAAGATCATTTACTGTGCTTTATTATTCTAGAGTGAAGCCCAAAAAACAAGGCATTTAAGTTACAGGAAGATATTCTGATTGAATATGGGGAGGGGGGGATCCTAACTGCAAAAGCAGTTGATGTTAAAACAGATTATCTAATGAGAAGGTTGGCTCCTGTTTGTAAATGTGTTCAAGCAGAAGCTATCAGGCATGCTTTAATTTGAATTTTTGAATATATTAATATTTGCAATGCTGCTACATTATTCTATTGTCTTGAGGGAATTATTCAAACTCAGACAATGTATAGTCCTACCTTAAGCAACAGTAAAATTACTTATACCTTCCTTAAAAAAAAAAAAAGCTAAATATATTTTCGTTTCTGATACCAGATCTTCTGGGTGAATCAAGAATATGAAAATGGTTGTAGAACAGCAGCATAAAATAACATATGTTCATTGACGTCTAATTTTAAGTTGCCTTTAGATGAATGACACATAATAAATAAATAAATAAAACTAATTCTTCAGCCATAGTTCTTCATATAATTACATCTCAGGTATACTGAATAGCCAGGCCTATGCCTAAACAACTAATTCAGCTGAACAAGTATTTATATATATATATGTCTTCTTAAGTTTTCGCGGGTGTGCATATGCAAAAAATTAAAATCTCGGGTGTTTTCCCGCGTCATTATAAATAAGTTGGTTAAAATATTTAAAATCCTGGTTAAAATCCCAGCTTAAAATCTTCTAAAAATCCTTACAGAGCACTCTGCAAGGTCCTTTAAAACCTCAGCTAAAATCCTACCAGTGACTTTAAAAGTTTTTCTTAAAGCAACGTTTCGACAGGCTCACAACCCTGTCATCTTCAGGCTCTGTTTCATGTAGAAGCTATGGGTTCTCTGTTGCGGGGCTGGAGCTGTCGCTTATCTATATTTGCTGCTGCTGACGTATGCTGGCTAGCCTGCAACTCTGTGTTCCAACTGGAGGATAACAGTTTTTCTTCCTGCTTCCTCCTCCTAGCTGCTTGGCTTCGTGTTACAGGCCCAGCTTTCTCAGATTCTCTATTATTATTATTATTATTATTATTATTATTATTATTATTATTATTATTGACGTGGGAAAACACCCGAGATTTTAATTTTTTGCATATATATATATATTATATATATATATATATATCCAGCTAGATAGCAGTTTCATCTTCCTTCATTGCTTATACAATGGCCCAACACTTCAACAACTTCCTAAAATAATTCAGTTGGAGAAGAAATTTAATGTGAAGTTTGAGGATATATTTCTATATAACTTTATTTCATCATCCAAGCACCCATTTGGTAAACAAGCAAATATACTTCATCAATTTAGAATCAGAGAATTGGAAGGTACTTAATCCAATCCCCTGTTCAAAGCAGGATCAGGAAGAGTATTTCTGAAGGATGACAATCCAGCATCAGTTTGAAGACTTCCATTGAAGACTTCGCTATATTATGTGGCAGCTTTCCTTTGGCTGAAAGCTTATACAATCCATCTTGCCTACTTCATAATTTTAACCTGTTCATTTTGGGCCTATCTTCTGGGACAATAAAAAATAAGTCCACTCATTCTGTGGATAATCTTCAGATATTTGAAGATTCAAACAACTTCCCTCAGTTGACTGATCCATTGGCTAAACAAATGTGGAAACTTTAACTGATCTTCCAGATCCCTCACCATTTTGGTAGCCCTCCTCTGAAGTTGGGCAATGTCTTTTCTGAACTATGGAATACAGAACTAAGTATTCCAAGTAGAATCTGATCAGGGCAATGTAGAGTGGAACAAATATTTTGCATGACTTGGATCCTATATTTATTTAGTGCAATATTTTATGTTTCAGTTTATGTTTCAGTAATCCACAGAAAGCACCAACTCCTTTGGAACCTATTGATTCAGATTAGTCTGAGAGGAAAAAAATTGGTTAGAAAACTGAACACAAGACCCAATATTTAGAGCTAATAATCATATGGATTGACATATAGATGTACCAATTAATGTGTGCATGTGATTACCAAGTATTTTAATCTTCAAGAACATGTACAATAAAAGAGACTTGTCTTCCAAATGCAAAAGCTACCATTTTATTTCAATTTATTTCTACCATTTATTTTCAATGTTTTTTCACAAACAAGAAAATTTAAGCAACCATTGAGCTTTTTAGTTAAGGAAGGAAAAGTAACTATCACACCATTTCCTTTCCTCTGCCTATCTTATTCTAGTGGGGCTGTTATATTTGCAAAAAATTGTTATGTACAACTGTGAATGGCCCCTTCTTTTGTGGATTGTCCCAGCAACATTGCTGTTTATTTTAAACAATGATTCTTACCTAGAGGTGCTATCATTAGATGCAGCTGCCTTTCCCCAAAACTGCTGGCAGTGCAGGGTGTTTTACAGACTTTTAAAAAAATATTAATAACCTGGTAAGAATAAAGCTATTGAATCGAGAAGGCTGAAATCCCAACATTCTGGGGCTCCTCTTGAGTTAAACAAATAGAAAATAGCCAGGCAATGCAAGGTGGCTGGAGTGGAACAAAACTGTAGGAAATTCCTGCAAGTTCTGATAGAAATGAATTGTTCTGGAACAAAAGGTCGAGAGAACAACAAAGAAATCAGAAGCCTTCAGATTAAGTGAGCTGTCCAATTGGAAGACTGCATAAGAGATGCTACAGGATCTTTATTTTTGTGCTCATTCCTGTTGCAACAAAGAAAATGAAGTACATTCATGGAACTAGGCAGGCATGACTAAGCCAAATGCCAACATTTATATGAGTCAATGCTAAATTATGTGCTTAAACTGCTCACATTTAACTTTGGCTGGGTCATGCCCTGAGATATTAAGACATCCTTTCTCTGCTACCCTCCAGAACTTCAAAACTCCCATATCCCAATCTAGGAAAACTCAAAGGCTCTGGCTCCAAACATCTGGAGGACATCAGATAGGAAAAGTCTGGATTAAGGCAAAGTATTGTGTTATCCATAATTTAATGTTTACTCACTCCCTATATTATGTTCTAAAGAGGCTAAAAATATGGAATGTTTCTGTTAATTCTGGAACCAGAGATTCTCAGATTCATAATAAAAAATATCTTGACTAATTAAGGTTAAAACCACCTTTGTGGTAGTTATATGCATAGTGGCAAGTAGGAATTCCATTACTTGCCAATTATCAAGAAGCAATGAATAGGCATTAGGAAAAATTTTGACTGCAATTTGACATGTACTCTTTGAGAGTTAACCCAATATTTCAAGCTTCCAGTGAGACATCATGACAAACTGATGTTAGAAAAACATATTGTGGCTGAAAATGGCACCCAAATGCTTTTGTGCTGCCAAAATATCTCCAAAGTAAAGCGATTGTAAAATTACCTGCATGTACCCCACACAGCTGTTTTTGTGAGCAGACATCAGGAAATGCATTCATTTTGTGGTCAACTCATTATAAATGGTGGGATTTCTTTGTGCTTATAGCCGTTAACATTGTCTATATCAGAGGTCTTCAGACTTGGCAGCTTTAAGACTTGTGGACTTCAACTCCCAGAATTCTCCAGCCAGCATAGCTTAAAGTCTTAAAGCTGCCAAGTTTGAAGACCTCTGGTCTATATGGATCATATGTTTGACTGAGATTCATCTCTTAATCACTTTGTATTTAATTTTTCTCCCATTTGGCTGGTTTTTTTTAATATATATATGTATATATGTATATATATATGTATATGTATATATAAGCTTGGCAAATCTTTTATATATCAGTCTGGCAAATTTTACTGAAATTACAGGCGAGTTTCCTTCAATTCTTTTTTAAAAAACTTGTTAAAGTTTTGTAACATTTTTTAGTATACAGCAACATAATAATTATTGCTGGATTTAGAAAATGTTAAATCAAGGGATCAAGATGACTTGATTTAAGACTTTGAATCAAATTAAAAGGATCTTCTCTCATGGGAAAATGCTCTTTTTTATACTTTGAAACTGATACTTTGAAAGTTCAACACTAGAGGGAACCCAATGGCTACCTTAAAAGGAGCCTGGTGGCGCAGCAGACTAATAGCCTGTTATTATCATTCAGCTGCCTGCAATTACTGCTAGTTCGAATCTCCCCAGGCTCAAGGTTGACTCAGCCTTCCATCCTTTCTAAGGTAGGTAAATTGAAGACCCAGTTTGTGGGGGCAATAAGCTGACTTTGTATAAATATACAAAAAAGTATGAAGGCTATTGCTTAACGCATTGTAAGCCGCCCTGAGTCTCTGGAGAAGGGCGGCATATAAATCAAATTTTAAAAAAATAAAAATAAAATAAATGTTTGATGAAAGAGTGAAGGAAGTCTTTGAGTTATTTATGTTTATAATACAGATGTCTCCAACCCCTGGATCATGGACTAGTACTAGTCCGGGCCCCGTGGGAAACTGTGCAGTGCAAGTGATGGGCAAGAGCGTAAAGCTTCATTTGCATGTACAGGATTAGGTTACACATACGAAACCATCTCCCCCCATCACTGATGCCGCCAGTCCATGGAGCCAGAAAAGTTGGAGACTGCTACTATAATAGAATCAGAAGGTGTTATTGAACAAATCCCATTGAACAAAACTGAAATTGACTTATAGGTGGTTTAAAAAAATTATAGTCTATAAGAAAGGGATGAAAACAATGGATTTACAAACTGAAATTGAATGAAGATTTTTAAAATATTAAAAGAAGTACAAATCAGAAGAGTGATATGGATAATTTTCTTATATTGGATTTATAAAAAACATTTGCAGGAGTTGTCACATTGGAATTACAAAAGGGGCCTGACAAAAATGACAAGAATTTTGCGAGAAGAGAGAAAAAGAGTATGAGAAAGCAGATGTTAGAACTTTCTGTGATGAATTCAAAGATGGTTGGGAGAAAGAAGAATGAATACAATTCAATTTATTTGATCAAAATTAAAATAATGAATTGTTCTTTCTGTTGGGATTAAATGGTTTTCTGATTGGGACTGGATGATGATGGTTATTTCTGCTAATGTTTAATTGTTTTTAACTGGGACTAGACTCTATTTGAATAGAAGAAATGGAGGATCTTTTAAATATAACTAGATATAAATACAAACAGGTTCAAATTGGGTGTACCAGATAAAAGTTTGTAATACTTATTTCTGCTAATGCTTACTGGGTTTTGCTGATTAACATGGACATTTTAGAGACAGGCTTATGGAGAATAGGGTGAGATGTGGAACGAAGAGATGTTTGGTTGTATTAGTAATAACCTGTTGAGTATGCTTGCTGAGGATACAGGGAGAGGTTTTTTCTTTTATCTTTTTTGTTCCTTTTCTTTCCCCTTTTTTGCACTTTTAAATTTTTAAAATGTCTTTCTGTACTATGTAGTTGCATTAGTTTTATCTGTATAATATAATTTTCAATGAAACTATTGCGAAAGAGAGTCCAACATTTCATTAGCAAAAATTAAATGCCTTTTTGCTCATCATTCAGTTGGATTTCTTTGCTAGTAGCATACATATATTTAGTGCACTTGATTTATAATTTTGAAATCCTTGAATTGAAATTTCTGAAAGTTTCTATTTGGTAACACTTCTTAGTGTTCTGAAATGTCCAAGAACTGATTCACCAAATACCGGTATATTGCCTTGCCCATCACAATGTCTCTAGCATTTCTGGGGAATACATTCACATGGACTTATTAATTTCTTAAATTAGCTTTTTCCCAGAAGCTCAGTGTGGTATATGTGGATAGGTAACTATATTCAATGTTTTAATCACAAGAAACTTATATTGTATGTTAGCCAAGGTAACTATTTCCAATATAGACACACAATGAGTTTCAGGGCTGATTAAATTACCTGAACTGTCTAAGACTCTAACTAGATGCCAGCAGAACTGGGACAATTTCACATATGGTCAAGAGCTACATAATTCAATTATTAGTTTTTACTTTTAAAAAAATTGATTTTTTTTTTTAGTTTGCTGTCATAAGCTCTATTTTTAATCATTCAAACTACTTTTTTATCCTCTGCAAGTAGGGATTCCCTGTACTGAGAGAATCACAATTCTCAGCAGGGATAAGAAATAAATGAGAGAAAACACATCAGTTGCAGCTGGATTGCTTCTAGAAATTGAACTTCTGATGCCATAAAGCGATGAGGGAGATTGTCTTGTTTTGGGATTTTTTTAAAATTTCATATATAGATGCTTTTAATTAGCAAAATTAACAGAGGAAATTATCTATACAACCACAGAAAACAAAGTCAAGTGTCTTCTCAATATATAAAAACAAACAAACTGTTGTCATGAATTGTAAGTGATTAAAGTAATTCTTAAAAGGCCTCTGGAATTCCACATCAGGAATAAAACTAGAGAGATCTTATATTATTTTGATTTTGGAAAACAGACTAGGTGACTGCACTCAGATTTAAGGCAATATCTATATATCACACTGTCTGACAAAGTTTGTCTACTTTTGGTCCTTTTAAAACATTGGCCATGCACTGTAAATGGTTTCTTTAAAAAACCGATTCCCCAATGAATTAGATATTGTAAAATAGACTGATTAAGAGGAGGAAAAAATGCCAGTGATTTTGTTTGCAATTGTATATACAGTAGTAATTAAGAATTACCATGCATGGAACCTGAAGCAAATCTTTAAAAGTTTCTGTTTAAAGCAAGCATGTTTTATGTCAGTTCTTGTAGAAATTGTGACTGAACTGAGCAATGATGCCAAACACGAACTTGCTGGTCCTAGTGTAAAAATGTAAATGTACAGCCCATTGTTGTTACTAATCAGCTGTTTAGGCATGGAGAATGATAAACAGACTTTCCTGTTTGCTCATTCTAAAATCCATTCTGTTAAGTGCAGCTGTCTGTCTACAGCAATGGCTGGTGAACCATGCATGCACATCTATATGCACAAAGTATCTCTTATTTGGTTAGGAATCTAGTTAGGGATACACACATAGCCCAAAGTTGGTTTAGGTTGGTTGATCCAGTGTAAACAGGCATTTGAATTGTTCATTGAAGAGAGAATAGGAACTAACCTCCAGGAGGCTCAGTGTAAGTGAAGCACATTAAATTTTCTTCAAACAGTATGACAAGAAGAGGTAGGGAAAATTCAAGAAACATATGCATATGCAAATCCCTACCAAGTTTTTATCCAAATTCAGAGAAAATGTTTTGCAGCTGTGCTTGTGTGTGTGTGTTGGAAACTGAGAACAGAAGCTTCATTTGATAAGAGACAATGCTTTCTTATTTGATTTCTTAAAAACATTAGAATGTAAGCATTTTCACCTGACCATTTTGGAAAAGGAGAAAGGTTCCATTAGATGTCTGATAATACTTAGTTACTTGATCTTTAATTTTTTTTTTTTTTAAATCAATGGGTGGGATTTGTTCCCTTAGATGGAATGTAAGCAGTTTTACCTGATAATTTAGATATTATTCTCTGGATTAAACATATCTCACCCTTTCCTCCTCTCTTGTGCGACCATTATTAAGGAGAATAAGTCCTTAAATTTGTTTACAGTTCATTCTTTGAAAGAACCAACTAAGCTTCCTGTATTTAATGTGGATCAAATAGATAGCTGGATTCCCTATAACCCAACCATCTCTGTCAGCTTTTTTTAAACTGTGTTTTATAGAACCCTGGAGTTTCATGAGAGACTAAGGGCAAGAAAAAAGTCCACTCAAACACAGCCTATGGTTGTCTGCAGCAATTTTTCCATGGTACAATGGAAAGGGTGGGGCTGTTTGGCCAACATTCAAAAACTCCAACCCCGTTGGGGAGGGATATTTGCATTTATTATGAGTCATTGCTTTGCTTAAATTTAATTGGGTTCTGAGTTTTTTTTTTTTCAATTGAAAAAATCCTGAAGAACTTTGAAAACCCCTGTGGTAAGAGACAGAGCTGGAACTATAACAGCAAGACTTAGGAGAAGATACAAAGATCAACTTTCTCCTTCTTTCACACCTTTGTCTGTTCTCTTTAAAAGGTCCTAACCTTCTGAGCTACCCTGTGTTGAATCTTTTCTCTCTTTTTTCCCCAATATCTGACACATCTGAAATTCCTTCTGATTTAAAATAGGTTCCCTCAATCTGCCTTAACTTCAGTTTGACAATACAGTACAGGAAAATTCTTTCCAAATGTGTGTACACATACAGACTGAAATCAGACAAGAAGAATACATATTACCCCTTTCCCCAGCCCTCCCCTTTGCTAAGTCATTCTCTTCACCAAAATCCAGCTTCATTTATGGAGATAAGCATCCAACCACAGCGCTCCAGATTTCTTTAGGGATCTAAAGAGTAAGAAGACAGGTATGAGATTCCAATAGTATAACAGAAGTCTGACTGTGTAAGCTGACCCTGAGCTTTCTCCCAAGCGTGAATTTATAGTAAACACTTGTAAGAAAGACAGAGAACTCCCAGATCTATCAGCATACAGATTAAGTATTTCTGCATTTCTGTAACCCATTAGTATATAAATATGGCTGGCTGGCGTTATGAAGTTGTACTCGTGTCTCTATGCTCCCCAAAAGATAGAACAGACTGACAATCCCTATTGAGTCTCTTACCCAACAATGTCTGCAAATGCTCTCAGAAGAGGTTTTTCTTCATAAGGAACTTCATACTTGGCACACAGGGACTTTACCAACGGTGCTATCTTATGGTAGTTGTGGCGTGGCATTGTGGGAAACAAGCTCAAATAAAACAGAAGAAGAAAGCATGAGGAAAGCGCAGGAGCAGCAGTTCTGGGGGACATGCCATGCACTATAGAAATAAACAGAGCCTAGTCTGTTCAACAGCCGGATGAGATAGCTGAATCCAGAAGCAACATGATGGACTGTATTGCTTCAGCATCTAAGATATGAGTACATCCCTTTGAGGCAATACGGCAAGCTTGGCTGGAGCCCAACATCTTTTGCATTCTCTCTCTCTCCCTATCCATATATCTAGGTCATTATATATGCACTTGTATTGTTTATATATACTTTAAACTGAAACTGTGAGGAAAGATTTCGTAATCTTGTTATTTTTTTAAATTTGTCCAGAAGACAGCAAGAGCTTAAAGCTTTGAAAAAATGGGTTTTAAAACTCCATGGGATTTTTTTGGGTGGGGTGGGGTGGGGAGAAGGTTAGTCTTTCCATTTCTAATTAGATGGAATATTTGGATGTTTTATATGGAAGATCACTGGAATGGTCAAAATGATCAAAATTCAGATGCTTGGCAACTAGTTCATACTTATGACCATTGCTGTGTCCCAAGGTCATGTGATCATCTGTTGCAACCTTTTGACAAGCAAAATCAATGGGGAAGTGAGATTCATTTAACAACCATGTTACTAACTTATCAACTGCAATCATTCACTTAACAACTGTGGCAAGAAAGGTCATAAAATGGGGCAAAACTCACTTAACAACAGAATTTTGGGCTCAATCTTAAGTCAAGGACTACCTGTACAATAGTTTTATGTACATTGCCTTTTATTTATTTATTAAATTTATATGCTGCCCATCTCAGTCTGCAAAGTGACTCTGGACGGCGTATAAATTTAATAATTATTACATATGCTTGTACCATATAAATTTAATAAATATTACATATCCTTGTAGCATACTAAAATTCTATGGTTATTGCTGTTAGCCAACATTTTTTTCTTATTCCATCTTCTCCAAGGTGACTATTACATCTTGTGCATGTATTTTCACTGCCAACGTACCTTCAGAAATAAACATTGCATACTTACTGGTGCTCTATTTGAAAGTTTAGATGTCCACTGAACCAGTCATTGAAAAAAGACTGTTCAATATTGCAAGTAGCTACCAGCTGTGAAAGAAAGGCAATTGTGAATTCCAATAAATCTGAATTTGAAAAGAGGTTAAGTTCAAAATCATTACTTTTTTCTTTTTGGTAAAGTCTGCCATTACAGTACTGTGGACATGCTACAATCTATTACATGCTGCAATATGACTGCACAGTAAAATGGTAATCTTTTGAGTTCTTCAAAATAGTGAGGTATTGCAAGAGGCAGGAAATTAAGAAATAATATGTTTCAAACAACATTTGGAACAAAGCAGTGTAGATCTGAATTATAACCAGCTTCATGTTTTTAGAAAAATAGGTCAACCATTGTTCCTTTGTCTCAAGATGCCAGATTAAATTGATATTTGCAGTATTAATGATGACTAAGGATTTAGCTACCTTAAAATTTTGCTAAATTAAATCCTTAACCTGGTTTAGTCTGCTTTACAAGAAGTGTGGAGCATGGAGGAACATTTTCGTTAGTTTCATCAAACCTGAGATAAAGTCAGTGGGACACATTTCCAGTACTCTACCAGATGATCCCAAGCATGGTTGCTCAGAAACTCCCCTGGACTCGGTGACACTTATTGCCAGGTAGGAATGAGATTTCAGTAAAGAAAGTTCACCTGGGAGCTGAGCCAGTCTCTGTGCTTCTCACTATCAATTTCCATTGGAATATGATTCATCTGAGTAACCCAAACAAACCAATGGCTTTCCATAAACCTAAAGAGCAAGAAAGAGAGAGGGGATTGAGCTCAAAAGCCTGAAAGCTGTAATCTAGAGAAACTATGGCCAACAAAAGGGTCAAAGATTAGGTTTATGTCCAGTAATTTAATAATAGGTCAGAACAGTATGGAGAGTCTTGAACTTCCCACATTTTGTAGGCATATAGTTGGTCTCTAATATGTCATTTGCCTTTATTGTATTGATTTATATGTCAAATTTCTAAGTCTCCCATCTCCAAATTACTTTGGGTGGCTTCAGAAGATTTTTTTAAAAAGACAAGCATAGATATATAGGCACCCAGATATACACAGATTATATAACAGCACAGCAATCATCTGAAAAACAATACATTGCAATATATATTTACATCATCCACCCACTAACCCTCAGCCCCTTCCCTGAAACTTCTAACTTACAGTAAATCCTGGAAGAAAAAACAGGTTTTTAGAGTCCAGTGGGAAAGGGTTATATGTGGGAATAGCAATAGCAATAGCACTTAGATTTATATACCACTTCACAGTGCTTTTACAGTCCTCTCTAAGCGGTTTACAGAGTCAGCATATTGCCCCCAATAATCTGAGTCCTCATTTTACCAAGCTCGGAAGGATGGAAGGAAGAGTCAACCTTGAGCCTAGTGAGTTTTGATCTGCCAAATTGCAGTCAGCTGGCAGTCAGCGGAAGTAGCCTGCAGTACTGCATTCTAACCACTGTGCCACCACAGCTATTTATATCCATCTGTTCAGCAGCATTGATTAATGTCGTTTTACAGGATTTTTCTGCTGTAAAACCTAGGTTTTGGAATACCTTATCCGTCAAGATATGCTGAACTCAACTCTGCTAGGTTTCTGGAAAATGTAGAAGTCATGAATGTTTTTTGGGGGGGCCAGGAGGTAAGTTGAAGCCAGTGTGGCTGTGGCTCCAAGTTCATTGTAGATTGGCTTTTACCAATCAGTTGCCTTTCTAGGTTATTTATTTATTAACTGTATAAATAAACTGTACTGATCTCACTCTGCAAAGAAACTTTTAATACTGTTTAGACGTTATTGTGGATTGTGTTTTAATGCATTCTTAGCTGTTTAGAGTTGCTATGATATAAGCAGTCACTCAAATCAAATCAAATCAAATCAAATCAAATCAAATCAATCAATGATAAGTAACTACACATTAGAACAATTGATAAAATCAAGGAAAGTCATAGGAGGGAAAATTCCAACAAAATATTCCACTGCTGGAAAGTGCAATGCAGAAAATGCCTGTCTACAGCAGAAACAAGCACATGTCGTCCTCACTGAACAACCATTCATTCAACAACCAAAGTTATGATGATACTGGACAAGGAAAAAGAAGATAGGTCCTTTAGTTGCAGCCATTGCAGCATCTCCACAATCACATGATCACAATTCATAATTGGCTCCTAATTACAACAGTGCAGCATCCTGTGGTGACATAATTGCCATTATAGTCTTCATTGCCATCTTTCAATAAACCAAGACAAAGGGAAAGCTGGCAGGAGATCGCAAATGGCAATTACATACCTGTGAGTTGCTGCAACAACACAGGATTCACGTAACAATGACAACTGGGACTGCCATTACTGCCCTCATAAGTCAAAATGGTCACGTGAAGTCATACTTTACCAGCCACATTGCTTAGCAACAGAGTTCCCTGTCCCAATTACCATCATTAAGCAAGGACTTATATCAGCCAGTCATAATGTAGTCTTCTTGTGCACAAACATTGGGCAGATTTGTTTGGAAATAGATGAATCTATAACTTATCTGGTCTTGAACTTCTCAGACTGTTATAAACCAGCAGAAGTACCTTTTAAATGTTTTAGTAGCTAACCCTACCTGACAAAGGTGAGGAGAAGCAGGGACCCAAGAAATCCATAAAATGGGATGTAGGTGATAAAGTAGCGTACATAGTAGCTGAAGGCCCATGCCAGGTCCTAGGAGACAAGGAAAACATTATACATGGCAAATGCTATATGTCTTTTATCCCTAGGCCAACAATTATTTATTTTCCAAAGAATATGCATAGACACCTTGCTTCACCCCCTCAGCTGAGATCTTCTTCAGATGAATTTTCATTTCATGCAGAGAAATGAAAGCAATAAAGGGCATGTGGGATTTTTCACTTACCACCCAGAACTTGTGTTTGAACATTGTTGTGAAGATTTGCATTTGGAAATATACTGGAATAAGGAGAGGTGGGAAAACTGTAAACAAAACAACACGCATTAGGGGAAGCAGGCAACACAAAACATAGAATGGTGTCCTGGGACTGAAAAACAACATAAAAATAAATGTCTGCAGTGAAGCTGTCTCTCTCTCGCTCTCGCTCTCTCACTCTCTCTGAGAAAGCATATGGCAGTAAATGATGAGAAATGCTGTGTACGGCTCAATATTTTAAGCTATTAAAATAATCAGGACTTGTGTTTCCAACATGATACCCTCTGGGAACCAATGTGCCTACAGACATCTCCCCTCTTGACCGTATGGCTTCTGGCCCACTTCTTTAATTTTTAAAATATTATTTAATTTATAAAAAGGAAATGAGAATGCTGAAAGCAACATAAAACTCTAGCATCAACCATTAACAAGAATGCTTGGCACAGCTACTCTAGCCCGCCTCAGATAATAAACATGATAAGTGGTGCAGCCCTGAATTGGGATGGAAGTGTATCCACCTGCCTTTAAAAAGACACTGGGGTAAGATTAAGTTAAAAAAAAAAAAGATGTGGGTTAGTTGAGGGAATTGTGAGGGTGCTCAATAGGTGTTTCACTGTACTTTGATTTCAATTTTAAAATGTTTACAGCTTAAAATAAGAGCCGAGGTGGTGCAGTGGTTAGCTACTTCAGCTGACTGCTAGTTTAGCAGATCAACGGATCAAATCTCACCGGCTCAAGGTTGACTCAGCCTTCCATCCTTCCGAGATGGGTAAAATGAGGACCCAGATTGTTGGGGGCAATATGCTATTTAGTATACTGTCTTTGGTGTAAGCCGCCCAGAGTCCTCAGAGAGTGGGCGGCATAGAAATATGAATAATAAAATAATAAAATAAAAATAAAATACTGTTTCCAGTTCAAAATGCTCCATCTGAATCAGAAACAGTTGTTCTGACTTTACAGGAAATCTTTCAGTGCTGTTCCAATGATTCTGGAAGTGTTCCAAAGTTAGGCATTTTTCAACATCCAACTACGGTCAGAACAACACATTCTCCCATTGTGAGTGTGAAACATTTTAAATTCAAGATGCATTGCCTGTGCCCAGCAGCAATTTGTGCTTGTCATGATGGCCATTTTGTATTCTTGAAGTTAGCCAATTCCCAGGACTGTGCTCTGGCAGTTTCAAATATGTCCACTTCCCAAAAAGTTTAGAAAGAGACAAGGCTTCTAACTTACAAACCAGTTTTAACATATAGGGGGAAAACTTCAGTGAATTGATTGTAATATCTGTGTTGGGGACAACTAATGGAAAAATAAGCAGGAAATAAATATCAGCTCTGCCTTCTGTATAAAGAACTATACTTACTCAAAAAGAAGTATTCATGTTGATGATTATAAGGGAAGTATTTCAGCTTCTTCTTTCCATACTGAAGGAGAAGACAAAAACTTTTCAGTGCTGACTATTCAAGACAATAAAACCCTAATTTGGTATTATACCACTAAAATTATGTTAGATGAACAACAGAAAAAAATAAGATTTCAATGACATTAAATATATTAATTTTGATACAGACACAATTTGCTGTACCTGTTGGCAATATTTTTTTTAAAATTGTAGGTATTGTAGTTCTAAAACATTCATATTTCTAAATCTAAATACTAGAAATTTACCTTTGTGCTATTTCAGATGACTTCCACAGATTTCAATATTTTTCATTATATTGCTTCAAAGAACTGAGGTTTATATAATACAGAGGGGATAGTTTTAGAAATAATAATATAATCACAGATTCAGCAACAGCATTGAATGATGATGGGGGACATTTGAACTTTGGGAGAAAGTTGGGGGAGGGCTGGTGCTGCTACAGAGAAGGTGCTAATCTGGAGTCCTGATTGATGATATTGCTTCACTGACGAATGGAGCATGCCAACCCTGCCAGATTGAGCTGACTGGGTAGGTATTATGGGACACTGGTGATCCCTCAAGTAACCAGGCCCTTTGCCATGTAAGCCTTTATAGCAGTGGTTCTCAACCTTTGGGTCGCAACCCCTTTGGGGGCCGAACGACCCTTTCACAGGGGTCACCTAAGACCATCGGAAAACACATATTTTCAATGGTTTTAGGAATAATTTTATGGTTGGGGGTCACCACAACATGAGGAACTGTATTAAAGGGTTGCGGCATTAGGAAGGTTGAGAACCACTGCTTTATAGGTTAAATAGCTTCAGAGAGAGTATGTAGCCTGTTGCAAAATATTTGTCACAAAAGGCAAATATTAAAATGTTCATCATGAAATGGAGAAGTAACTTTTTAGAAAGAATATCAAAAGGATTCTTAGACAACAGAAAAGCTGCATATGATCAAGGTCTCATTTTTATTTTGCTACTTATGTCTAAGTGTGGTAAAAATGCTCCATATAACAAAGCAAAGGAACAAATAGGAAAGAATAGTAGATTCACTGACTGCACACAGAGAAGGAAATATTCATATTCAGAGAAACTAAATCACTACATCTGCATTTCTTCATCACAGATTGGACAAATCGGGAATTAGTTTTTTTCCATTATGAGCTACTGTGGCACAGTGGTTAGAGTGCAGTACTGCAGGCTACTTCTACTGACTGCCGACTGCCTGCAATTCGGGCTCAAGATTGACTCAGCCTTCCATCCTTCTGAGGTGGGTAAAATGAGGACTCAAATTGTTGGGGGCAATATGCTGACTCTGTAAACCACTTAGAAAGGACTGTAAAGCACTGTAAAGCGGCATATAAGTGCTGTTGCTATTGCTATTATAAGAAAACAAGGCTAACACATTATTATCAAATATGAGCAAAGTAGCAGTGATCTTTCCTGCTGCTTTTCTTTGACTTCTTCTGACTGGCCTTGACATTCAAAGCCACACCTCATAGGTCATGAGCTCTACCTCCTGAAACTTTGAGAAGGTGCTGATCTGCCTCAGCTGGCTGCTTCATTTCTCAGCAAATGGCAAAGTGAAGCTATCAAAGCAGAGGCATGGCTTCCCCACTCCAGATAAGTCAAAATGCCAAGCTACTTTATGAACCTGCTTTAATTGTATGATTTGATCAAAGCATTTTTACTGAAGCATCCCACTGAGGCAAACAGATAATTTTGAAGATGGAATGAAAAAATCATTATGAAAAAATAGACAACAAATAAGTCCTGAGTGGAAATAGGATGGTGGGTGATAGTGGGGAATTGAGAGGAAGAAAAACTGCCTAAAAACAATCAGACAAGGTTGACTAATTTGTTCTTATGGGCCTTTGGAGTTCAATTTATTACATAAATGTCACATTTTGTGGAATGTATTTAGCTAGTTACAATATAAAAATATTTTAGACTGTATTGCAGTATTTGCTTAATAGGCACTGGAATGTATTGCACTTTCAAAGTTGCTGTAGCAACCATGGCCCAGGTTTCCAACTGGAATCAGTTAGGACAGGAAGCTCTCTGATTTTCCTAGCTAGAGTTCATTTTTGTTCTAGAGAAGAGCAAAGTGTCCCTCAAGGACATGTCTATCACAAGGGCACACTCTTCTAGCATTGTCCATAGGAAATATACCATTCTAAGGAACCACATGATATTGTTACTTTTCCTTGCTGATCTACACAAGGCAAAACTCATCTGGATTTTATAAGTCATCTCTAGCTGAATATGGAAAGGAAACTTTCTTAGAGAAAGTGTAAACAGAAAGTAGATCTAACTGGGTCTTCTGGTATATTGCTGCAGGATTTGCAGTAAATGGGCAAGGTTCTTTGATTTTGATTCTCAGTGGGAACCCAGATTGGGGAAAGAATTATGAACAGGTTTTAGTTTGGGATTTGGAATTTCTGGACTCTGAACTCTTTAATTCTAGGGTATGTATTTTGCACCAGGCAATGGATACTGGAATTTGGGTTTTCAAGAAGCAGCAGAATAAATGTTGCATCTCTGAATTCTACTATGGCTATGCCATATCATTAGATATCAAACCATCCCAAAATAGACTTTTTGATTCAGAAAAAGTTGGTCACTTGGATATCATCCTACCAAGTAGTTAAGAGATTTTCAATATAGTTTAGCAATAGATAAGAGGCAACTTGGTACTGTATATTAATCTTTATAAATGAATTGAAATTGTCAGATATAAATGCCTTATTCTCCAATGTGTAAATAGTGTACAGACAGGGTATCAGGGGTTAACTTATTCTTCACTTCTTAATGTATTCATAATTCACCACTCCCACATATAGCTCCACCCATTGTATATATAAGGAGCTACCTACACCATTTCCCCTGCTTCTATCTGTGAATATTCAGTGAATATAGAATGCCTAATGTAAATAAAAGAATACATAGTTAAATCTTTAACTCTTGTTGATCTTATTGAGTCTGATCCTGAAAATATTGCAACAACTGGTAGCAGAGGATGGTTAATTGACTCAATAAAAGGCTTTAAAATGTCTAAGAAAGATAGGCCCAACACCAGGGCCTACAGCAAAGAAATGGAAACGGAACAAGAAATAATCAACGAATCCACGAATGCAATTTCGAGAGAATCCGAAGAATACACCACTGAAGACGAAGAAATAATTGATGACCAGGAGGAAATCGAAATAGAAAATAACGAACTCAGGTCAGAGATATTAAAACTATTAAAAAGCCAGAAGATGATGAAAGCCTCATCGCGAACCTCCAAGATATGCTAAAGAACAGCGGAGCAGCGAGAGAGAAAAACATCACCAATGAAAAACCCAAAGATCCAAAAATAGTGAGTAATATGACTGCGGAGAAAATCATTACAAAGAAGAAAAACGATGATCCCGCGCAAAAATTTGAATGGCGGCCATCTTGGTTTCAACCGGCCTCCAAGATGAACGAAGAAGAGCCAATCAGCAATCTCAATTCAAAATTCCTGGCGCGAAAAATATTATCGGACAACGAAAACGAAAAGGAAGATTCAAACACCTCAGAAGAATCAGAACCAGAAAGCGAGGAAGATCCAACAAAACACCAAATAAAATCAGCGATGAAAACGCTCTTTGCTGCATTTGGGCCAAAACTGAAAATTACTAAAAAGACACTAAAAAAGCGAACGAGCAAGCCAATGCCTCAAGACCTGCCCGCTCCCATCCTGACTACTAGAGCGCTGACGCCGGAACCCAGAGAGCCCTGCCGATACCGCCCTACGCCGCAGACCGAAGCAAGCACCAACGCTTTCAATAGAAGAGAAGAACAGCCACCTTCGCCAGAACCCCCAAAGTCGAACCAGAGACCGACTCATCTGAAGAGGAGCAGAGCGAGCGAGCCGCAATGAGGAGAACCTTCCACGACGACGCCGAAGAAGAAATGGACAACGCGCATGCGCGAAACTACGCTGACGATCCGGGAAGACATGAACAGGAGAGAAGATCATGCAGACTCGTAGCGAGCATCCCCATGCCGTTTTGCAATTTTCTGCATTTACGAGACCACGGACTACCTCAGGTTGTAAGTAATGGACCCAATAATGTCGGAAATTTACCCAGTGACTTCCCAAAACTAAGGGTTGATGGCATTAATTTACAAGAATGGTATCAACAGCTCCAGGTTGTCTTTATGAAGGAAAACTTACTGTTTTTTATCACTAGTCCCCCAAAAAGACCTTGGACACTAAAAATAGATTGCTTACACCATAGAGCTTTTTTCTTAATAATATCTAGTGTGTCTCCTGCAATGTATCACAGCATTAAGCCAAATTTGACTGTTTCAGAAATTATTCAATGCATGTTTAATTTGTTTCACAGTGACAGTGTAGCCACCACCACAAGGATATCTAAAGACTTCTTTTCATCTAGGATAAAACCAGGGGTTTCCATAAGTGAACATTTAATATCTTTGAACAAAATAAGAGCTGAACTGCATTTGAGGGGGGAAGTGATTTCAGACCAAACAATGAAAAGTGTCATTATCAACTCACTTGACCCATCATGGGACAATTTTATGTCACATTTAGACACAATCAATCTAGGGTATTTATCCATAGAAAGTCTATCTAACAAATTGATAACAGAAGATAATTCTAGAAGGAATCGTTCTAACAATCACACAGAACATAAACCATATAGGAAAGTAGCTTTCCAAGAAAAATATAGTGGAACATTTTAAATGTCATAATTGTGGATCCAGGGAACACAATAGAAGAGATTGCCCAAAATTCTTAAAAGAAAGATATAGATCAGAATACAGAAACAAATACGATTATAGACAGCCTTCCATAGAAAGGCATAGATATAGGAGCCCACCAAATCACAGAGAGAATAGAGGGGGCAGAGACAATTCAAAGGATAGAAAGTCTGGTTCACTGAATGGATTAAATAAACAAGACAACACTAACACACAACAAAGTGAGAACAATAATTGGCTTATTGATTCTGGAGCAACTAATCACACCACTAATAACAAAAGTATATTGTCTTCATTTGCAGAAGATAAATTTGTAATTAAGGTTGCTAACCAAGAAAAGGTTCAAGTATTAGGTAGAGGAAATGTAACCTTGCCTGGTTTAGGAAAAATAGAGGGGGTATTACTAATACCTGAAATACCTCATAACATATTAAGTGCCATAAAACTAAGCAGAGATTCTGACATTAACATTGTCTTTTCAAAAGGAAAGGCAACTTTGGAAAAGAATAAAATAAATGTAGGCACTGGTGTGACTAAAGGAGGACTACCTTACCTAATAACAAAAGAAAAATGGTTACATAACATTGATTCAAATATGGAAGATTGTATTGAAATAGATGATGAGAATGTTAGCAACAGTGACAATGATGAATGCAAAATATCTCATGATCACACAGATGCACACAACGATAAGAAACCAAAGATAGGTAAACCAATTCATGATGAGTGTGCTCACATATTGCATAGGAAGTTAGGACATGCCAGTTTTCCTGTAGTGCAAAAAATGACTGAACACGCAGAAGGTGTTAAAAAAAAAAATTGTGAAAATTATCTGGAATGCTCAGTATGTAAATCTACAAAACTAAAAACTAGTCCCAGGCCAAGAAAATCTACCAGATCAACTAACAAAATTTTTGATTTAGTACACATGGACTTAGTTGGTCCATTAACTCCATCAATCACTTATAGGAAACGTTACTTCCTGACAATAGTGGACGATTATAGCCGCTATGGATTTGTTTACACACTAAAACACAAAGATGAAACATTTCAAAAATTTAAAGAATTTTACAAACGCATAGAAACACAACACAACATCAAAATAAAACAAATTATGACAGACAGAGGATGCGAATTCATGTCTAAAGAATTCTCACAATGGTTAAAAGACAAAGGAATGTTACATTACACATCTAGTCCATTTTCTCCGTTCCAAAACGGGATTGCAGAGAGAAAAAATTCCACATTACAAACCATGATTAGATGCACATTGGAAGATGCTGGCTTAAGCAAACAATTCTGGTCAGAAGCCTTACATTATTCAAATTACACACAAAATAGAACATGGTCCAGCATTATAAATAAGACACCATATGAAGTGATGTATAATAGAAAACCAAAATTAGCACACATGCATATATTTGGAGTCACAGCAGACGTACACATACCTAAACAATTAAGAAGAAAGGGAGAAAATGTGTCCAGGAGACTCAGATTTATGGGATATGAGACTGGCACTAAAGGATACAGATTCATTGATAGTAACAACAAATTTATAGTCTCCAGAACAGCTGTGTTCCATGAACAAGCTAACTGGTCTAAATTACATCTTAATGAGATATTCCCAAATAAACATGAAGATACAAAATCTCATGAGAAAGGGACTATAGAAAAACAAAATACCAACAAATATTAAAACAAAACCAAAACTTGGACAAATAGCCAACTCAAAATAAAGACAGATACACTAACAAAAAAGGAAGCAAGATATTTGCATGATAACGATAGTAAACCCGAGAAAATCATTAGAAACACCAGAAATCAAATGCCAAATAAATACAAGGATTATGTAATGCACATGAATGGTGAACCAACAACACCCAATACATACGAGGAAGTGTTAAAACTTCCTCACGAAGAAAAAGAAAAATGGGAATTAGCAATGAAGAAAGAGATGGAAAGTTTACAAGGACTAAATGTATTTACACCTGCATCTGCACCTAAAGATAAGACAATTATTGGTACCAGATGGATATATAAAATTAAGAATTTAGAGGGAGGAAATACTCTATACAAAGCTAGATTGGTTGCACAGGGTTATGCACAGAAATATCCAGAGGACTATACTGACACGTATTCCCCCACTGTAAGAACAGAGAGTGTCAAAACAGCTCTAGTGGTAGCTTCAGCACTCAATCTAGATGTATTCCAATATGACATACAGACTGCGTACCTACACGCAAAATTAGATAAAGAAATATACGTGAGAGCACCTCATAGTCCATACACAAACAAAAATGAGACTTGGTTGTTAAACAAGAGTTTATACGGGCTAAAACAATCTGGTAAACGGTGGTATGATTGTTTAGTAAAAGTACTTAAGACCATGGACTTCAACGCTACCACTGCTGATAATTGTTTCTTTGTCAAGAGGGGTGATGATTACATTGAATTTGTATTGATTTATGTGGATGACATTTTATACATAGGAAAACATAAGGAAAGAAGAGAAACTTTTGTAACTAAACTAAATGAACATTTCTCATTGAAATCTTTAGGCAAGGTAAACAAATACCTTGGTGTCCAAATTAATAAGACAAAAAGGGGATTCAAACTTACCCAGAGAGATAAGATCATAGATCTTTTAAATAAATGCAACTTAAACAATGCCAAACCTTGTGATACCCCTATGCAAACTGACTTTCTAAGGAATTCTGATGAATCTTCTCCCGAGTTCAAGGACAATACATTCTATAGATCAATCATAGGTTCACTCCTTTACATATCTAATTGGACTAGACCGGACATCGCTTTACCACTCAATTTATTATCTAGGCATGTCAGCAAACCAACAATGTACCACTGGGAAGCTGTTAAAAGAATTTTAAGATATTTAAAAGGTACACTAGACTTTTGTTTAATGTTAGAACCTAATGATATTAAAGAACCAAAGCTTACGTGTTATGCAGATGCAGATTGGGCTGGAGACACCTCATGCAGAAAAAGCACATCTGGTTATGTATTTCTCTTAAATGACTGTCCAGTCTACTGGTACACTGGTAAACAAGAACTAGTGGCTACTTCAACAACAGAAGCGGAATATGTTTGTTTATCCAAGGCCGCAAATAATCTTGTATGGTTTAATGATTTAATTTCAGATGTCTGGAAAAAACCTGCTCTGCCTTTTGTTATGCATGAAGACAATAAAGCAGCCATTGAAATATCTAGATCTGATGCCATTGGACAAAGGTCCAGACATATAGATATAAAATTTAAACATGTGAGACAATTATCTCAGGATGGATTTATTAAAGCAGTGCATTGTGACACTTCAGAACAATTAGCTGATATATTAACGAAGCCTTTACCTTCTAAACAACATAGATACTTAACCTCTAAGTTGTATGTTTTGTATTGTCCTGAATCTGAATGTAACTGGTGTTGTATAACGAATCGGCATTTAGAGGGGATTTGTCAGATATAAATGCCTTATTCTCCAATGTGTAAATAGTGTACAGACAGGGTATCAGGGGTTAACTTATTCTTCACTTCTTAATGTATTCATAATTCACCACTCCCACATATAGCTCCACCCATTGTATATATAAGGAGCTACCTACACCATTTCCCTGCTTCTATCTGTGAATATTCAGTGAATATAGAATGCCTAATGTAAATAAAAGAATACATAGTTAAATCTTTTAACTCTTGTTGATCTTATTGAGTCTGATCCTGAAAATATTGCAACAGAAATATCACTAGGTGACAAACTTCAATGCTTCTTTTTTTTCTATAGAATTTGGGTAGCAATTTTATTTTAAAAAGTAAAAACAAACTATAACAGAAAACAAATAAAGATATACTAGTTTTGCTTCAAAATAATTCATCCGTCAACAGATTGCCCTTGACATTAAGTGAAAAGCAGCTAGTTTGGTGACATACAATATTGGACATAAAATTGCAGCCTTTCTCTTACCCACCTGCTTTTCTAATTTATCACCTGTATCAATTATTTCACTGTGCCTACTAAGGTAGGCAGTTCTCTAAATCAGCTCTCTATTCAGTTAGCAGTCCTAGTAACATGATTCTGAAAAAGAGTGATGCATTGCACCATGGCTGTGAGTTTTGCCAGCAAAGGGAATTGATAATAAAGCTCTCCAATATGTCATTCTGAGGAACCCAATCAGAGTGATGCAGATAAAGCAAGAGAAGAGGACTAAGAGGGGGCACACTTGTTACAGACACTGGTTAACACAAGCGTCTGCAGTATTCCTTTTTCTACAAGGAATTATTAATTAATTTTTTTGCCTCGAGGGCTAGATTTTTCTGGGTCTCTACTGCCTCTGGAATTTTCTTTGGATCTGAGGCACTTGAATTCACATATTTTTATCTTACCTCCACAGGTTGGGTATCTCCCAAGACAAAGAGATGCAGCATGTTCACATCTGGATCTTTCTTAAATATGTTTGGCTTTGCATGGTGCTGAAAGTGCCGGTGATTCCACCAATTTGCTGAAGCACCCTATGGAAACATATGGAGAATCCATTTTTTAAAGTACTGTCAAGGTCATCATTTGAATACCACCAAAGATGGGGATTAAAAATGTAAGACCTCCCCTTGATAACTTTATAGACAGACCATTTGATTTTCTTGGCAATGACACAGTAGTTCTCCTTTGTTTCTGAGATTCTTTTGATTTCTTTGATTTCGACAACCCTATGGTTGCTGGTTGTCTCTCATCCAATACAAATCTGAGCCCATTTAGGCTTTCTGAGATTAGCCAAGATCAGTGAGGTACTGTCCCTTAGCAGGACAATTCTTTCATTACAGGTAATAGTTTGTACTTTGTATTCAAGATGATAAATATTTATGAAACCAGCTGAAAAAAATATAGAGTCCCTTATAACTCTTTCCTCAAAGTATCTTCTGCAACCAACTAATACTTGGCAAGCTACCAAATGTAAATATAAAAATGTTTGGAGACCTGCCAAATAAGGATTTCTCCCTCCTTTGATAAGAGTTGCCAAAAAAAGCATGGCATGGAATGGCACAATGGTAGAATGTGGAATGTATATGGTACTTTAGATCACTCAATAGAATTTGAAGACAATTTTCTGGTTGTTATTTGAGAATTGCAACATAAAAAAAAATATTCTTTCTGCTAAAATTACAGAAAGATAACACCTTTTATTAATCTTTTGTCCTTTAGAAATGGGCTGTTAGCCAGAAATCCTCCAGAAGATTAAATATGTTTTTACACAATAATAAAGTAGAAATAACAATTAATAGAATTACATATGCAAAAAAATGGGGCAACATGGGATCAGATAAGAGCCAGCCTATGAACACAAACAGAAGAAATATTGGCATTTACTATGTTACAGTTAATTATTATTTTATATCTTTGATATAAAGAAGATAATTTTTGGAGAGGTGCTCAAAATGCATCATTGGATCATATGATGTGCTCTTTTGTTACAATGGTTCCCTTTTGCACAGAAGTTGTTTCATGTATTACTTTTGTTCCAGAAGGTTTATTGTTTTTATGGATCCTCATATTCTTTTCAATTCTATACCAGTGGCTTGGAAACAGAAGGACAATGGAAATAGATACTGCATGCTTTCATGATTACAAAATAGAATACTCCAAAGTTGGAAGGACACCCATTCTTCATCAATTATACAATGACTTAAAAATGTATTCTCTTTCTGCTATTTAAAAAATTGAATTGCCTATATTACTTTATGGTGTTTTATTTCTCATTTTGTAATGGTTGTTTTCCAAATAATATGATTTTGTATATATATATTTTCCTCATGTATATATTGTAATTTTCAAAGAATTGTGAAAAGCCAGAAATTATGTTTGATTTGATGCATATAGTATGTATGTGTGAGTGTGTTTGTATGTATGTATGTGTGTATATATATATATACATACAGAGATACACACAATTTAACTATATATTATATAGTTAAATTATTAAATTATTAACTATATTGGTATTAAAATACAAAATAAACTTCCTTCCATTAAAAGTGAGGGCCTGAATTCAACACATTGTTGCTACTTAACTGCAAATTTTGTTCCTTCCAACTAGATATACATATCCTATATTTCTTACAGAAGTTTTAACCTGACCCCCCCCCAAGAATATCTATAGACAATAGTTAATAGATCAATTGCATTGATAAAGCTGTCCTCTATGAATTGAACTAATTTCCTCTAAAGCCATTGAAGGTAGTAACCATTAGAGTTTGTGATTGCAAATTCTACAGAATAATTACAGCTAGTCCTGTTTAGCAACTGACTTGTTTATGCAAATAGACTCTAAACAAGTTGCCAATCCCAATTGTAATTGCTAAATGTGTTATATGGAGACTTTAAAACAAAGCTGCTCTAAGTATTCTTCTAATCAACTTAAAATAGATGACTTCTGTTTATTCATTTTGTGCATTCTTTGTATTGTCATAAAATCACACTGGAAGTAGCCATAAATGTCATCTAATCTATCCCCGGCTCAGTGCAGGATCTGTTAAAAAACATCTCTGAGAGAAGAACATGCAGCTTCTGACAAAAGGCCTCTAGTAAAGAAGAACCACATGTTGTAGCAATCTGTTCTATGGGTTCTTTAGTACAATCAGGAAGTCATCCTGATATTTAGCTTAAACTCCTTCCTTGTAACTGTCATGCCTGGGAGCCATATTACCTGTGTGCCTTGAGGATCCAGGCCTGCCACAATCATACCGTGGGAAGTTGGGAGGGGAGATTGCATGAGTGAAGTAGAGATAGCCATAACAAACTTCTCTAAGAGAAGTTCAAGGCCATGGTGTCCAGCAGCTGTGCAAAGAAGAAATTGGAGGATGTCTTCTGTTCAGGAAAGAATTGATTGGAGCTGTGTGGACATGTGGAAGCTGTTGGCAAATCTTGAACTTTCTTGTGGATGAGGAAAACCCGGAAGCTTTCAGATTCAGGTTTTCCCAGATGTGCCAATATGACATTCTAATAAAAGTTAGCTTTGAGGAACTTCAAGCTTCTGAGTTTGATTTCTTTGGAGGTGTTCCTTGGAACCCTGACAGTAACTACAGCTCTTAGTATCTCTCATTATTGGCCATGTTCCCTGTTTTGTCTTGCCGTCAAGCGTTTATTGACCATTACTATAATTAACTTATCCTCACGTAACTCTTTCAGCTTTGGTTTCTGGATTATAAATTCTTCTCATACAAATGGATATGAAGTTGGATCTAGCTAAAATGATGACATGATGATTGCAAAGAAAGGTATGCTCCTTCTTCTTTAGTACTGTTTAGGATCTTTGAATGCTGGTTATCAACATACAATTTTCTACACAAACTCTTCTAAAACGGATTGCTCATTTCTTACTCTGAAGCAAATCAGGTAGGCTTGATGCTAGAATTTAAGAATGAAATATAATCAACTGGTTCTCTAAATTGTCCTGAGTTGGGAAGCCCATTTCCTCTGAGTACCTCCTATCATAATGATGTGAAAGGCCCAGAGTTGTTTCAGAAAAGAGTGAGCAACATAGTCTCATTAGATCTTGATGCGATCATTCTATTGTAATTTGACAGGCATAGGCCTTACCTTCAAGTGACCAATCACAAACTTATGAACTACATGGTTCCATACAGGCTTCTCAAATACAGAGAGATGTCCAAAGTCATGCTGCAACCACCCAGCCTGGGCCTGGAAAGAAAAGAAAAGGATTAAGACGTGCAGAAATTTTAGCTATTCTGGTGGGGGCTAAATGCCATCTATATATCATCTTGTATTGGTTCTCTTTATATGCTACCGCTCTTGTCAATTTAAGATTGTAATTCCAAATTGTTTCCCAATCGTCTAAATTTATACTACGTCCAATATTTTTTTCCCATGCGATCATCTGTTTTTTGACTACCTCCTCTTCCCTTTCATATTCGAGCAGATATGTGTATAATTTGGCTAGTAATTTATTTTCTGTACCCATCCAAATCTTATCTAGTCCATTGGTTCCTAGTTCTATGTCAAATTCCTTCTTATCTTTCTGGTAGTCTCTTCACTTAAATTTGAACTACAAAAATCAGAGCTTAGTAAACCTACAAAACTACAAAATTCATTCATAATAAACCGCGGTGGCGTAGTGGTTAGAATGCAGTACTGCAGGCTACTTCTGATCACCGGCTGCCAGCAGATCAAATCTCACCAGCTCAAGGTTGACTCAGCCTTCCATCCTTCTGAGGTCGGTAAAATTAAGACCCAGATTGTTGGGGGCAAAATGCTGACTATGTAAACCGCTGAGAGAGGGCTGTAAAAGCACTATGAAGCGATATATAAAACTAAGTGCTATTGCTAAGTGCTATTGCTATTCCTTCCCTAAAAAGAGGAGAGGAGAATTCTGTCCCTGCTCCTTACGGTAACATCATACGTCTTATCTTCCATTTTAATTAATGGGACAACTGACTAAATTAAAGTTGCCCATTCTTGGTTTATACAAAACATGCATTTATACATGTTTTCCTCTCAGAGTTCTGTATGCTTTTGTGGTTGAAATAAAATGAATTCAAACACCAAATTGCCTGCTCATAACCCAAATAAATGGTCCCCAAAGTTACTTTTAGTAGACCTACAGTAGTCCCTGTCAACTGTTTTAGAGAGAAGGGTGTTTGGAAAGTTGCTAACAGCAATCTGGTAAGCAGCTTTCAGTAATGCATCTCCAAATATTGCACCTGTGTTCAAAGGAAAAAAATCTGAATGCAGTAGTCCTCAATGTATGACCACAATTGGGACCAGAATTTCCATTGTTATGCAAGGCAGTTGTTAAGTAAGCCTAAGTTTTACAACCTTTTTGTCACAGTTGTTAAGCAAATCACTGCAGTTAATATGTGAATCACAAAGTCATTAAGCAAATCTGACTTCTCCCATTGACTTTGCTCCTTAGAAGCCAGTTGGGAAGCTCCCAAGTAGTGATCACATGACCCTGGGATGCAGCAACCATTGTAAATACATGCTAGTTGCCAAGCGCCTGAATTTTAATCATGTGACTATGGAGATGTTGAGATAGTCATAAGTGCAAAGTCTGGTCATAAGTCACTTTATAAAAATATCGATATAACTTTGAGCAGTTGTTAAACAAATGGCTGTAAGTCAAAGGCTACTTGTAGATATTTCCACAATATTTGACTCTGCTGCAGAAATCTCTGCACTCGGAGTCATCATCCAGTGCCTGACCATCTTGTCACTGCCTCTTTCCCTACCCTGAAGCAGATCGGCACTTTCTGCATCTCCTCCAGTTTCCTGCTTTTGTCCAGACTCTTTTGCTTTCTGGCCTTCAGTTCTTAAAATGAGACATTAAATAGTGCAAGTAGCATTCTATACAACATTTGCAAGCTGATCTTCAGTCATTAATATTCAATTGTGTGGAATACAGAATATTCGGTTGTCATTATTCTAGGTCTGGGCTGGGCAGTGATGAGACCTAGTAGGATTTTCTTTTACTTGGCAAAAACCAAATTTTTAAAAAAAAGAGGGGGGGGGGAATAAATTCAATCAGTTTGCAAGTCAAAAGCAGACAGATTGCAATTATTTGGGGTGAGAGCAAAAAAAAAATATATTGGGAATGGGAATATATCATCTTTCGAATAATGACTAACTGATTTTAGTTTCTTGAATTATAATTTCTTTCACTTTCCCCACCAAAAAGCACAGTTACCTGGAAGTTTAAGTAACTTGTGCATTTATTTAACGAATTCAATGACAGAAGAACATTGTGACCAAGCATTGATAACCTTCAGTATTTAGCAAACAAAATCTCACCTGAGAGACTGTGAGGATGAAGGAAAGTACCAAGGTTATGCTCCAACTTGTCCCACAATATGATACCATTAACCAAGCCAAAATTTCCATCACAATGATGTGAGCCAAATAAAGGGAGAAAAATATAGGATTGGATTTGAATAGCTTCATGTCCTCTGCTGTCTTTCTCAGGGCACGGAAATCTTCTACTAGCTGAGACTGAACAGAAGAAAAAACGAGATATTGGATGCTTTATACTCTAATGGGTGGCTTCACTTTTAAGTACTACACAATCTTCAGTCTGGTAATCCTGCTCTGTCAGGCCAATGCTGAACTTCATGGATTCAGTGCTTGATTGTGTAACAAGACTTCTATATAATTTTCATAACCATATCTATTTCAACTGTCCTGTAAAATCATTAAATACCATACTATACTATACTATTGTTCTGCCCCAGCTATGGACCCCAAAGAACGCAGCATACACAAAGTCTGTACAAACCTTAGTTTACTAAATTAAATCAGTCTTTTTCAAACAAAGGCTGTTAATTAACTTTCTTAACAGCCTACAAGAATCAAAAAAATAAATAATCATAATCTTACTATGGTTGGCAGAAAGCCCAGAAGCAATTTGCAGGAAGCTGATAAGAGAACTAAGATCAAGACAAAGGAGAGTGAACGAAGTTGTTCCCTGCAAATTGCCTCAGTCGTTGTCCTTCCTTAAATTGGCTAAGGGAGTGGCCAATTAGCCCCAAGCCTTACTCTTGAGGAGACCTCCTCCTGAGGAGCCACTCCTGCCTTTTGGCAGCTCTGCACGCCCGTGCATCGGGAAGAGGCTCCTCCTCTTCTTCCTCTTCATTTATAGGAGCTTCTGGAGGTTCTGAAGGCCCTGACTGAAGCCCCACCTCTGGCACCACATCTTCTCCAGCCTCCTCATTGTCTGACTCAAGTGCCAACTGCACAGTTTGCTGGCACAGCAGCACACCAGCCTCCTCGCTGTTAGAATCAGCTACTAGCTGCACAGGCCGCTGACGGGCCACAACAACTATACGATATGATACGACACGATACGATACGATACGATACGTATACTTATACTTATACTTATACTTATACTTATACTTATACTTATACCTATACTATACTATACTATACTATACTATACTATACTGTACTGTACTGTACTATACTATACTATACTATACTATACTATACTATACTATACTATACTATACTATACTACACTGCATCACACCATACAGAGCCAGTTGTAGAAGCTGAGGCTCCTGTTTAGAAACCAGCAGACCGTGTGTTCCCCTTAGGCATGAAATCTGGCAGGGTGATTTTGGGTTAGTCACTCTCTCTCAGCCATAAGAAACCACTTCTGAAAAATGGCAAACCAAGTCTGAAAAAACTTGCCAAGAAAACTGCAGGGACTTGAACAAACAGTTCCAAGAATTGGACACAAACTGAACAGAAGAAAAAAATATTAATATTGGTCTAGTGGTCTAGTGTCAAACTCACATCGTCACATTGTCGTCATGGGATATATCGGGACTTTCCCCCCTTTGCTAAACCGGGCATAGGTGTGGCCAGTGCATGACGCATCCAGCCCACAGGCCAGAAGTTTGACAGCCCTGGTCTAGTGGTTAAGGCACTAGGCTAGAAACCAGGAGACTGAACTCTAGTCCTGCCTTACTCATGAAAGCTAGCTAGGTGACTTTGGCCCAGTCATACTCTCTCAGCCCAATTCACCTCACAGTGTTGTTGTGGGGAAAATAGGAGGACAAAGGAGTATGTTTGTCACCTTGAGTTATTTATAAAAATAATACAGGTGGGATAGAAATATAACGATAGCATGATATAATATGATATATGATTGATATTTGATATGATGTAACATAACACAACGAAATATATTAATATGTACCCTGATTTTCAGAATGCTACATTCTAGATCCAAGGATGCGCAGAACACAGTGTTCTATTCTTTATTTCTGAAATCTTCTTGACTTTAGTGTTGGCTGCTAAATGAAAGCTCAATAATTTGACATGACAGGTAACTATTTGGGGTTCAGAGCAGTAAGGATCTTGCTGCTCAGCCATATCTGTTGTATCATCCTTCAGATGTAGATGGCACAAATTTAGGGAAGCTCTTTTACACAAGGTCTCCTCTCTATAAATGGTAAAAACTCCTTTGAGATTCTTTGAGTTCCTGATCATGAAGTTTGGAGGGTACCAAAGTATTTTGCCATTGCAAATCGTGGTGGCTGCTGTGGCCATTGTCAGAACTAATTTAATGAGATATAACATGATAGACCTTATGCTTCTCAATATTTCCACCTAGCTGTAGGCTGTAGAAATCAATTAATGCAATTTAAGCCTCACCACCCTCTTTGTTTGATAAGGAATAGTGAAAGAATAATGGAGCATTTGCAGGGTGATATGTAGACATTGGCTTGTTGTCCTAATTGTAACCTCCAAAAAAAGAAAGAGAGAACAGAAGGGCTTTTGCTGGCAAGTGCTCAACCAAAGCAGAAGGGCTGAATAATTGATAGCTTGAACAGCTGGGAGTTGCGGGATTCTGAATGGCTGGGAGACAAGGGACAGATGAGAAAAAAGAATCAGGGACATATCTGTGAAGCTACCTTCCAAGTCAGACTTCAGAAAAGCTTCAGGTTACTAAAAGGCCATGCACAGGTTGCTTTCAGTCAGAAAAACCATACCTGATGTCATGTGCAGAAGAAGGAAAAGGGAGGGGGCTGTGAGCACTTTAGATTTGAAGATCTAAACTTTCAATCCTGAGAAAGATGCAGGGATTAAGGAATTCCCAACATATCCTACATGCACACCTATGTGCCTTCCAAAATGTTTTTTCTTTGCTTTTCATTTTAAGTTATCTATCTATCTATCTATCTATCTATCTATCTATCTATCTATCTATCTATCTATCTATCTATCTATCATCTATCTATCTATCTATCTGATTGGTTTGATTATGAGCAGCTAATTGAGAGGAGGTAGGGAGCAAAATCCTAGCAGATGGAATAAGAAGTGATGAAAAATCCCTGAATATTTGCTTCCCTGACTATTCCTCCTTCTTGGCCAGACAGTTTCTAATCTCAGCTGCATTCTTAGGCTTGTATGAGGAGTCTGAGCTTTGCTTCAGCAAAGTTCACACTTCAAAAGCAACGCAAGAGTCTTCATCAAGGTCTTTCATATAATCTTAAAGTCTTAATCAACAGCTGAGATATAGGAATAAAATTTTGAACATGTTTTGAGCGGACAAATGTCCTTGCACTTTAGTATTGCAAATGGAACTTCCAATTTTGAAACCATTAGAAGTTCAGAAGACAAGCTTCTGGATGAGGGATAGCAAGCTAGCACATCTCTGAACAAATAGAGATGATGTCATGATCATGACCAAAAACTGAAATAGAGCAGTTCCATGGAAGAGAATATATGTAGCTCAGAGTGGAATCTTTGTGTTCACTGTGCTTGTCTGTTTGTTTACCAATGTTTCATTGTCCAACTGGGTAACACCAGTGCTAGTGGGAAAGAGATTTGCTCCCTGTTTATATACAGTACCTTGTCCCCTGGGTGGGGATGTGATTTTCTCCTTAGTAGTTTCTTGATTAAGATATTGATTGGGGTCAGTGGTGGGTTTTAAATTTTTTTACTACCGGTTCTGTGGGCGTGGCTTGGCAGGTGTGGTGTGGCGTGGCTTGGTGGGAGTGGCTTGGTAGGTGTCACAGAGAAAGGATACTGTAAAATCTCTATTCCCACCCCGCTCCAGGGGAAGGTTACTGCAAAATCCCCATTTCGTCCCGATCAGCTGGGATTTGGGAGGCAGAGAATAGATGGGGGCAGGGCCAGTCAGAATTTTTACTACTGGTTCTCTAAACTACTTAAAATTTCCACTACCAGTTCTCCAGAACTGGTCAGAACCTGCTGAAACCCACCTCTGATTGGGGTATTGTTTCCTGCAAGATTGCTTGTCTAATATTAATGCTTATCTGGGCATTGGTTGCTGGACAGGATGTATTCTGGTGTTTTTATTTCCATCTTAGCCTTTTTATTGTCTCTTTTGAATGATATATAAGTATAGCTTAGCTCTATCTGTTTATTTATGATGGATTATCTAGTGACTTGTCTGAATGCCAAACTTCTAGGAACTGCCTAACATTTTTGGATTTAGCTTGTCTAGGATGCTCACAGTTTCCCAACTGAAACTGGTTGAGTCCCATGTAACCTCTCCAGTTAAGGACAGGAGAGCAGTCCTCCATCTGGCCTCTCCCTGTTATCCCAAGTCTCCTCATGGAAAGATGGGTGTCAAATAAATTTAATAAATAAATAAAATTCCCATAGGGTAGCTGTTTCCTATGTGTCTTAATGCTGGGAAACAGAGAGGAATTATCACACTTTCAACAGCTGTGCAGATTTTTAAAGGACTAACTTCATTTTCTAATCATTTTTATGAATTACCTATTTAACTATCTGAACATAGACCTTCAATAGAGATAGAGATCTTATCTGCAAATAAGTTTGCAAAGCCGCCTGGTGAGTTTGCCTTCATTCCATAAAAAAAGAAAAATTAATTATAAGCCCTAAGAATGTAAAGAATTTGAAATAAACAGCAAAAAAATAAATAAAATTTTAATTCAAGAAAGTTATAAATGAATTAAAGGACCACACAAATTTGGATTATTAGTACTTTTGCTATAAGATTTTGAAAATATTTAAATAAACATCACTTTCATGGGAATCAAATTCTTTAATCGACCTTATGTTCTAATAGAAATTTGAGACTTTATGATTTCAGATATTCTACACTAAAGAGGACTGAAGATTTCAAGTATAAAAAGAATCAGAAAAGAAAAAGAGAGAGGGACAGGATTGCTTTTGTTATTGGTCAGCAATAACAAAATGACAGAAAATAGTATGGCATTTTAAATACCATTTTCTGGTATTTGAAGAACGGGGACAGAAACTAGCAACTACAATGTCAGCAATGATGTCAGCTTCTATGGATTGACTGTCCAAAGGACATTAAAAAAGAAATGACACACATGAAAAAGAATACCTTGGAAGAGCTACAAGATAAAGAGCTGAAATAAACATTATTCAATGCAGAAATATTATAAAGAAGTTGTTGAAATACTGGAAAAGTTTAAATGATGTGGATTATATGACAGAGATGACAAAGTAGAAATACAAATGATAAGCCAAGAGAATGACCTGGGAAATGATGCTTTATTGGATTCACAAAAGAGATTTGCTAAAGCCTCAAAGAAGCCTTTCAGATGGAAAAATCCTTACAAGATATTAAATCCTATGATAACATCTAATTGAATTAAAGATAAAAATTGGTAGAGAAGTACGAAGTTGGTTTGTTTGCTCAAGGTTAAAATAAGACATGTTTCTATAAAATTCTGTGAATCCTTTGCATACATTTTGCTGACCCTGGTTTATGGATTTCCATATGGATAAGAGATGTGTTATAGGAAGAAGAGATATATGTATGCAATCTTAGAGATTGAAAATTACTAAATTTGTTTGTGGGTCTTGTGATGAAAAGTGGAAGTCATTTCTTTAAATATTTCTTTTCTCTTTCTCTTATTTTGCTTCCTTTTTTGCTTATTTTTTTTTCTCTTGCACTTTCTAATCTTTATTTTCCTTTTCATTGCTGAGTTTAATTTGCACTGTCTTTTATGGAAGAGGGGGAGGGAGGAGAGGAAGAGGAAGAAGGAGAAGGAGAAGAAGAAGAAGAAGAAGAAGAAGAAGAAGAAGAAGAAGAAGAAGAAGAAGAAGAAGAAGAAGAAAACGAAGCAACATTTAGCTCTTCCAAAGATTGATTCTTTTGAATCTTTATTAAAATGAAGCACCCCTTCAAAGATTTGCACAACTCTATTGGGTGAAATATCTTAATATAAATGCTTTATGCATGGATTTCCTTCAGCATATTTTGTTGCCTGAGAGGAGTTCAGCTAATATTAGGCAAGGAGACACATCAATGTATTCCCAACTTAAAGCACTTGCAATTTCTTCAGTATCTTATCTTGGTCTTCAGTTTGTCTATGTTTTGTTACTTTCTTTTCCACTTTATTTTCTTGCTACCCTATTTTTAACCTCAATACTTCTATCCATTTCTCTCTTACAGATGCTCCGTGTGATACCACTTCCTTCAGGCTCTTTTTGGCCTTCCCATGTCAAAGAAAGTGAAGCCACCTCTTACTTACATTCTTTCCTCTATCTTGGCTGGGTTCTCCTGGAGCAAGTTCTCCAATCAATAATGGCTTAAGAAACTTCTTTACAAAGGTGATATCTGGATGAAAGGCCCGAAATGCATCCTAGAATAAAAAAGAAGAGATGGATAACATTGATATCCTAAGAGACTTGATCTACATTATACCTCTGACGTTCATTTCTGATTCTCCCTTCTGACTGCAACTATTCACTAGGAATTTTTTACCCCATAAAAAAGTGAGTAAGTACAGGCTGAGACATGGTTAGAGTTAAACGATCTAGAATGACTTCTTAATTCTCATTCATAAACCTGGTTGTATGATAGTTGTCTTCCCTCGTTATTCCCCTTCTCCAAAGTAAAGTTTCTTTATATGCAGTTATGGCCTAGTGGTTCAGATGCTGCATGATCAACTGAAAAGTTGGCATTTTGTGGCCCAAGTACCACATGACGGGGTAAGCTCCTATTCTTGCCTCAGCTCCTGCCAACCTAGCAGTTTGAAACATGCAAATGTGAGTAGATAAATAGGTACTACTTTGATGGGAAGGTAATAGTGTTCCATGAGGGGTACGCCTCAGTGTATAGTCATGCTGGCCACATGTTCAAGGAAGCATCTTTGGTCAAAGTTGGCTCCCTTGGCTAAGAAGTAGGGATGAGCACCCCAGAGTTGGACACGACTGAGCCAGGGGTGGGTTCTACTTACCTTTACTACCGGTTTGCAATGGGGCCGTGCGCGCACGCTTGCTTCGCTCATGCGCATGCTCTTCTGCTCATGTGCAGAAGTGTTTTCATGACATCAGGGTCAGTGGGCGGGGCCTCCCATTGGTTTTACTACCGGTTCTATGGAACTGGTGCAAACCGGGGGCAACCCACCACTGGACTGAGCAGGGGAAACCTTTACCTTTCCTTTTTATGGGCATTTAGCATCATTATTTTAAAATGGGATTTCTCATCGAAGCCTCCCTCATCCACACTAAAAAAAATCTGTTTTTTTAAAAAAATAAAGTTAGATTTTATTCTTTTTAGAGCAGAACTAAAGGGACAAGGTTAGGATGACAGGGATTATCAAACAGCTGAAGAGTCATGAGTTTTCAGGTAAGGATTAGCCTATTGATCATTTAGTTTTGAGAAATGCTTTTAAGAAAAAAACGATCTGGAGGAAAATTATTCCTTTTTACCAGATCAATAACTTGAAAGAAAAAGTAACCCTGTATTGTCTTTTTGGAGAAAGCTGAACTGTTTCTTTCCTTCCAGAAACAGCAGCAACATCACATTGGTGGGTTTTTTTTCTCCATAGGAATTGAATTTGAAGGGGTTTTTTTCCTCTACCTTTTATAGGGTAAATGAAAGTCATCCCCTCTTCACTTTTCTTGATGGCAGCAACTTAAGTATTTTTTGTTGAAGTCCTGCTGAAGCTCAAATTTCCCTCTATTTTCTCTGAATATGGAACAATTGGGAAAGGGACACCATCGGATATATGTCTGTGGGCTACATGTGGATACATTTATACACACCCACATCATACAGAGAACATATTTAGCAAAGAGTTTTACTCTTTAAGAGTACTAGATCTTGGGAACATTTTGGGATTCTCATAACCTAGGGATGTTTAATTAAATTTGTTAATTCAGGATATGCGAATGACTTCCAACTTGGATTTAAAGGGAGATCAAACTATTCATGAAAAGTAAGCCTATCAATAGCTGCTAATTATGGCAAGGCTATATTCCCCCTCTTATTAGATGCAGGGTGCTTCACTCAGTGACAAACACTAGTGGAGCTTGGGTGGTTTCAAAATGCATGATCTGAACTGGTTAGTACATGGACAGGAAACCATCAGGGAACACCAAGGCAATAGACTAGATTTGAAAATAATAAAAAAAAAGAGATAAAACAAAACTATGGGGCTACTACAAAAGGGTTGACTGCTTGGGGGCAGTAATGAGGAAATTCTCTACATCTCTGCAATCATCTGGAGTCATCCGGCGCTTTGCACACCAGTATGGTTAACCTTATGAAAGAAACCCAAATGACAAATCATTTGGAGGCTGTTGCTGAAGAAAACCACAGTAATATGTCCATGTAATTAGCAGGAGACTCAAGGGAGTCTTTATCTTTTCATGCTTCTTAAAAATAGTTGTTAAGGAACACCCATGGGAGAATATTACTACATTCATCTTCTGCAAATGGGCTTTTAAAACCATACATAATAACTAGCTTCTGTGGAAGCTGAATGATCAACCAAAGCAGAGGTGGGTTTCAGCAGGTTCTGACCAGTTCTGGAGAACCGGTAGTGGAAATTTTGAGTAGTTCGGAGAACCGGTAGTAAAAATTTTGACTGGCCCCGCCCCCATCTATTCTCTGCCTCCTGAGTCCCAGCTGATTGGGAGGAAATGGGGATTTTGCAGTAACTTTCTCCTGGGATGGAGTGGGAATGGAGATTTTACACTATCCTTCCCCTGCCATGCCCACCAAGCCACACCCACAGAACCGGTAGTAAAAACCCACCATTGAACCAAAGGGAAATGCAGAAAAATACTTTTTGTATTAGCTGAAGAAACTACATTTCTAATGAAATACAAAACACTATAATGGTAGTCCTCGACTTATAACCATTCATTTAGCAACCATTTGAAGCTATAACAGCACTGAAAAAAATGACTTATAAATGGTCTTTGCCCTTAGGAACGTTGCAGCATCCCTGGGATCATGCGATCGCCATTTGCAACCTTCTCAGCCAGCTTCTAACAAGTAAAATCAATGGGGGAAACCAGTTTAACTTAATGACCACACCGTTCACTTAACAACTGCAGTGATCTGCTTAACAATCAGGGTAAAAAACAACTAGGAGCAACTCAATAACAACCGTCTTGCTCAGCAACAGAAATTCTGGTCCCCAAGTGTGGTTGCAAGTCAAGGACTATCTATACTACCTGGACTACAGTTGAGTTTGTCCTGTTTTGATTAGCTGCAGCACTTCAAAAGAGAGGATTCTACAACCCTGTTACATGGTTATTTTTGCTAGAGATGCCAACATTGGATATTGTATGCCATGCTCAAATATAAATGGTCCTACTAGCAGCTTCCCACTGAACTGTTTTATTTGATTCAACTGTTCTGACCTAGGCTTCCTGAGTCATTAAAACACACGAGTAGTCCCAAAAACCTATTTTATTGCAACAGCTGTGAATTCTGTTCATTCACAGATGAGTCCCAATTAGTTATAAAGAGTCCTTCAGGAGAAGTCCTTTGGGATAATCACCCAACTTTATCTCCCTTGACACGCTGCCAAAAACCTAACTGGCAAAACCACACGGAGTCCAGAATCAAACAGAGCTTCAGGCTTTAAGCTGAACCGAATGAACAAACGTTGCTTCCTGCAAAGGCCCACATGCCTTTGCTCCTCTTTTAAATCTTATGGGAGGGGTTAATCATCTCCCAGCCCTACTCCTGAGTTGTCCCTTTTTTTAAAGCTGTTCTTGCCTTCTGGCAGCTCTGCACATGCGTGCACTGGAAACAGGCTGCCCCTGATCCTCTGCCTCGCTGTGGTCCGACTCTGGAGTCTCCAGAGGCAGCACGTACCTCCCAGATGGCCCTTTCTCTGCCTCCAATGCAGAGCCCTTGTCGGAGCCTTCCCCAGATGCCAGGACTGGCCCATGGTCCTCCCCAGCCTCCTCACTGTCCAACACTACTGCCAGCTCTGCAGGTTGCTGGCGGACCACAACAACAAGGAACCTGCATCCTCCATCAATGTCATTGTACTGTTGGATGTACTGATTCATTTTCAAAGAGTACATGCAAAGGAGGGTTCCACTTTTCCCAGTCCCCATTTTTCCTACAAGGTTGATAATCATTATTCAGGGGACAAAATTGGATTTGTCATTTGCATGGCTGAATTCGTATTTCAACTGCAAGAGGATTATGTTGGAAGTGTAAGTAACTGTGAAACAGATATTCTCTTCAAGATATTGCCTCCCCCCTTCCATTTAGCTCACTAGTAGCTTTTCTTTTTAAAAATCTTTTTTCTTCTAAGATTAGTATAATCAGAAAAGACCCTTCTTCATTCAAACAGATGACAGGACAGCTTGTCTGGAAACTGGAAGTTTGGCAGAAAGAAGCTGTGGAGGCCTACTGCTGAGTCAGAGAATTGTTCACAGCAACTTCACATAAAAGATTCTCAGGCAAGGCAGCAAAAGAAACCAGTCTTTAGCAGATCAGAATGGCCTTTGCAAAAGATTATTGGACAGCATCATTCAGAGCCGGAGAAAATATGAGGTTCCTGAAAAGTAACCATTAGGGCCTAATACTTGGATCTTTTGCTAGTGGACTAAAGGATGTGTGAAGATTGATAGGAATTTATTCTAGGAACTTCAACCAATGTATTCTCTATTTCTGTTGCTTTTTAGTACTTGCATATACCATAATTTGCTTCTAACAGGGTTTAAAGCAATTATTGTTACAATCCTACACATTTGATTATTTTCTTTGCTTAAACAAAATAATCAAATGTGTAGGATTGTAACAATAATTTTAAGGAGACCCATGCTCATTATGAATTACTTTTTCTTTGCTTAAAGGTACTTCATAATGAGCATGGATCTCCTTAAAAGCCATGATTCCCCGGGGTCAAATGTTTTCCTTATGGACAGGCATTAGGGAAAAAATGATCAAATTTCTATTTCCCTGGAGGATGGAAGATGAAAGGAACAGCCCAGTGGTGAAAACTAAAATTTGTTACTACCGGTTCTGTGGGCATGGCTTGGTGGGGGGGAGGTTAATGTGACTGGGTGGGCATGGCCATTTTTTTTTTTACTTTTAAAAGCATTTTTTTGGCCAAAGAGGTTGTAGAAAACATGCTTTTAAAAGTAAAAAAAAAAGCCTCTGATGATTGTGCGGCTCAGCTGGCCATGGGGGGGGGCAGGGGCAGGGATTTTTGCTACCAGTTCTCCAAACCACCCACCTCCATCGCTACCGGATCGGGTGATCCAATCCGAACCCGGAGCATTTCACTCCTAGAACAGCCTGCATGGGTTGGATTTCACTAGTGAGAGAAAAATAGTCCCAGCCCAGGATCTTGTAGCTGGCCATCAGAAACTTCAAGACTTTACATTCTTTGGCACTGTGTTTTTAAACTAGGTTCTAAGGAATACCAGTTCTCTGTGAACAACTTACAGATGTGCAAGTCCAGCAGACCTCCAGTGGCCAGGTTGAAGTGTGATCTCCATGTGTAAGAAATACACACCCAGGCAAATGGGCTGTTGCAAAGGCAAGCCAGGTACTGAATTTACCAAGTATCCTCTTATTTGTTTTGAAAGTAACAGTCAAGCTATTCCACTTTTTTTAAAAAAAACTGGTGTTCCATGCTTTTGAAAAGTTGAAGAAAGCATGCTACAGGGGAGTATTGTTTGCTTGCTTTGCTGTCTTTTCAACTGCATATTTATATAAAAAAGTAGCCTAGTCTAATCTAATCCTAGAGTTATGATTCCACTGTATTAAATTAAATGGACAAGGGAGTGTGGTGGCTCATGAAGTTAGGATGCTAGGTTGATGATTGGGAAGCTTTAGTTTGAGATCTGGTTGCTGCCGTGGAAGGGAGGGAGTTCCTGCCATATGCTCCAGCTCCTGCCTACCCAGAAGTTCAAAAGCAATAGATAAATGGGTTCGATGGGCAACTTAATGGGTGTGTGAAAGGATTCCCCCAGGCAATGGTGATATCACCATTCAATCCTTTCAACCCAGAAGTGCTTCGGTGCTCTGACACGACTGTAGTAGCAGTAGTTAAATGAACATGTTCTTCAACAAATGTATATAAGATCGTACATTGCAACTTAACTTGCCCATTAAAAAGGAAAACAGTCTTTTCCACAATCCACTTCTACTGTAAAACACTGAAATGGAATACAAAGGATCTGTTTTAAGAAGCTTTGGATCCCTGGATTACACACATAATTTAAGTGACAAGCAAGCAACATTATTAGTATTTCATAATCCATTTAAGAACATGCAGCTGCTGTTGCTACTACATACATTTCATGTTTATGGCAAGCCATATTGCAAGCACAATGGCTGATATAAATGCCTGCAGGGTATACTTAGTACTCCTAGTCCTCAAAGATGACTAGCACCAATCATACAGATTCTATTAAATGCTGAATATCAGGAGAAGTCTGTTGCTTCCTTACCTGCCTAAGAGACTCCTCCCATTATATTTTATGAGTCACATCTCCCTGTGCACTTCAGCTTGCATTTCCGCTGCTACCAATCAACCATGATCAAGTGCTCTAAGCTCACTGTATGTCTTGCTCATTTCCATACATCCGGCCAAGATCCACTGTTATTATCTGGATTATCCTTGAGTCAACTCTCACATTTCTTTCTTTGACTATTTGTTTTTTGTGACTAGCATACCCCTGAACATCTAGAAGGAAAAAGGTAATAAATTTGATGTTTTAATTTCAGGCCTCTGAACCTCAAAGGTGATTTGATAGAACTACAGTTGCAGAAAAAGTGTGGGTACCATTGGCTGCTTTAATTAATATTCAGTTCGTTGTTAGAAAGCATCTTCCAATTGAAGGGAGAAGGTGGCAATTTTCAGTCATCCTCTTTTGGCAGCCTCCATTCCAATTCCTAATGGATTCCAAATGGTTACACTGGAGTCAGAATTGCAAGAGTGAGGAAGAATCTTTCCCTTCCCAATTGGGCCAATTGGAAGCAACCTTTAGCCTGAAATTCTGAGCACGCTTAGTTAATAAAGCCTTATAGTATTGGATTAGTGGGGCTTATTTACGAATGACCATGTTTACGAATAAATATGATGAAGTTGTTATAAATTTCATCTGAAAAAGAGTAGAAGGCAGAAAGGCCAATGCCCATTTTACTTTTCTTAACCAAAGATTCAAACTGGGTTAAAAGCTATTTTATCTTCTTTTAACAAATATAAACATGGCATGATTCTTAGATTCCAGAATTTGTGTGTGATAGAGGAGCAGGAAGATTTTAATATATCAATAGGGTAGAGTTTGCTTTAAAAAGAGGACAAAAGGCAGGTGAAAGCTGTCCCTTTGAGATTGCTAAATCATGGGGAAATAGGATTAGCAATTGCCCCATAGTTTATGAGGGAAACCATTGGCCTTAAAAAGTCCACATTTTGTGGACTCCATCACATACCTAAAAGACTGGTTTTCTAGAATTCATGTTTTGCTTTTTTCCTGCAAAAGGAAGGAAATTGATGCAATATCATTCTGCAAGAGAACAGCAGCTATTACTACCCTTATCATTTTCAAAAAACAAAACCCCCCAAGAATCCTTGGATTCCCCCTCAACACACAACCCCCCCTCCCCAAGCCTAAATTGTTAGCTTATGCTCATCCAATGATATCTTTGCATCATTGGACATTAACTCTTATGGCTTCTGAAGGGCAAAATATTTTTTAAAACTCTTATCCTGACCAGGCCCCAAAGGGTTGTTTATTAGAGACATCTAGTGATGAAAAATTGCTTCCTTCTCCATCCCAAATTAGAATCCCACAGAAAGTAATGATGGTATGTTTTTAAAAAATCCTTTTGTTCTACAGAATTCCAGAGCTCAGACCTTTTAGCTCACAGTGTTTCAAGTTTTTAAAAATGTTGCCTTAGAAAGCCTTCACTGTAGCTTGAAACAACAGAGACAATAGAACCAATCTCTGTGTTTCATAGGCTGATACCACAGATAAGGGAAACAACGATAAACTGTACTGTAGTATAAACAATTTGATAACTACAGATGCAGATTGATGGATCATCTGGACCAATATATTTAATATGACACCATTACAAACTTGGGGGGGGGGAATAATTG